ATATGCAAATGTGTACATATGATTGTGTGTTCTTTACTTTACAATTATCTGTGCCACTGAACCATATTTTTTTTTTTTTTTTTGAATAGCAAACATGCAATTTCACTTGAAGCTATAATTTGTTATAACAACAAAGAAGTCTGTTAACCTTTCGAACACTTTGTGTGTGTGCGCGCGCTACTGCGATTGTTAATTAAAAGAAAGATCTGTTCTTTACATTGACCCATATTTTTCATGAATCATTAAATATGTTCTCCTTTCAAAAAAAAAAAATCTCTGAATAACTATCTGAGCAATAGTCGTGGGTTCTTCAGGCCGACGTTTCAGAGAACTCCCGGAGATATTATTGTGAATTTTTAAAGAAAAGTTTTTATGGGTATTTCAATGGCTTAATTAAGGACTTGGCAGTGGTGTAGTGTATTTTAAAGAACAGCAATTTTACAACGACCTTTACTTTAGGTTGGCTGCCATTATTGCTGTGCGACAAAATTCAATTTTTGTCAACTATTATCGATAAAATCCAAAAAGAACGTCAATTTTCACACGACCTTTATTTTTTGTTGGGCGCCAGTATCGCTCTCCGACAAAATTCATTTTTTTTCAACTATTATCGAAAAAAAAATCCAGAAAAAAATTTTATTTTTCACACGACCTTTATTTTATGTTGGGCGCCATTATCGCTGTGCGTCAAAAATTCAATTTTTTCAACTATTATCGGAAAAAATTCAGAAGATTATGAAAGTAGATCCAACAAGTAAAAAAGCAGAAAGTTCCGCCGCGCTGAACTTTGAATACCCTCCACCATGCGGAAAGAACTTGGAAATCTTCAAAAAAAAAAATAATAAAATCCGTTAAAAATGCTGGTAAAATCTTATAATCACCGAATATGGCCTTTATGCACATTGAGATAAAAAACGACAACAAAGTCAAAAGCCATCATTTTTACATTTTTTCTTTAATTTTATTGAATCAAAGAAAAAATTGTCGGAAATATCATGAAATTTTAGAATAAGTTTCAATTTGTTCGAATTGGTCACCTTTGGTCACGAATTATGGCCTTCAAACGGCCAATGAAGCCGTCACACGCTGTCCGAATGTTGCTCTGCAGTATTTTGGCCCATTTCCGGCGAAGCGCTTGTTTGAGATGATCGACACTTTGGTATTCTTTAGTGCCAACCTTGCTTTAAAAAAAACTCCGGACCCAATAGTCCAACGGACTGATATCCGGAGATTTTGTTGGCCATTGTGCGCTGGAAATGAAGCGAGGAACCTCATTTTGTAACCATTCTTGGGTTGCGCGTTCTGAATGCGATGGTGCTGAGTCCTATTGGAATGTCCGGCTAAAATGTTTTCGTGCCCAAGGCTTTAATACATTTATTCTGACACCACGGTCGATTAATGCAAGCGGAGAGCGACCATCGCCTGTTATGGCGGCCCACACCATCATCATTGCCGGCGCTTTAGTTCTGGTGGCCAACCGAAGGTGCACATTTTCAGCCGACCTCCTTGGCAAGTAAACACGATCATTTTGTTTGTTTACAAACTACTGGAAAACGAATCTTTTCTCATCGGTGAAACCTAAATCCGGCAGTTCACCACTTTCGACCAAGCGAACCAACTCTTTAGCTCTTTTAAGTCTATTTTCTTTCTGTTGCGGTGTAAGTTCTTGCACTTTTTGGAATTTCAGTGGCTTTACCCCGAGCTCATTTTTCAATATCTGCCGAATGGAATATTGCGATATATTCAGCTCATTTTTCGGCCATTTCGACGCGGGTTTCGGTCAATTTTCGAACCATTTCTGCTGATGTTGCTGTTTTCTTCCGCATACTTCCTTGACGGGTCGGTTTACGCTACCAGTATCACGATGAAGAGCGATGGCACGAGACACAAAAGATGTATTCACATTAAATGCTGAAGTGGTCCAACGATAGCCACCTGTGGTTTACCAGCCAAATATAAAGAAATCACATGCTTGAATTCCATCACGAATAACTTTTTTCTGGACAATTCTCACCAAAATGTTCTGTACGCTTGTAAAGCTGTCACTGGAATTATTTTAACTGCTGTCGGACGAGTGGCTTAGAATGGACAGCAGCCTGAAGTTGGTTGCAGTTTTTTTCATCTCACCCGGTATACCCTCCATACTATGTATGGTGAAGGGTATAAAAAGTAGGTCAAATTTGGTGGAAATCCATTCAAATATAGCTATAGCTCTCCCATATATACAGTTAAATTTTTAAATAAATGTAAAAATAATTAAAAATTAAAATTAAGTATTCTCCAATTGCTAATATCACAGATGGTTGGATACGACTAAAATAATGCTGATGTATAAGTTGCATTGGTGTTATCTTTGTCTTCTTGACTCCACGAAGGGGTCTTTTGGGTCCTTTTTTCATCAAGATATGGTTGAAAACGCCATATCAGCCAAAGAACCACTCGGTCCGTCCCACCAAGTGATTAGAAAATCCAGTGCAAACATGTACCCATTTGTAGACCTAATTTATTGTTGTTGATAAATAAATTAACACATTGACATTTATCTTTTGCATTACTCACACGCCAAGGTATTTCGCCAACTTTAATAATTGAGGCTAAAAATACCACTCATTTCATTCCATTGTTGTGAAATTTGTCAAAGGCTTGTTGTGGTAGATATATTTGTTTTAGCTTCTCTCTATCTTCATATACTCACCGTTTGCTTATGAATGACATTTTCCTATGTTTTGAAATTCAAAAAAGTTCTACAATAAAGGATCTTGTAACGATCGATTTTATTTTTTGTCAATTGCTTGCAAAACAAAGATTTAATGAAAGAGTCTTATAAATGGTTCACTCTCGATCACTCTCTCTCTCTTTCCTTCTTTAGTTTGAGTTGAACCACCAAACGTGCTGTTTGTCATTTTTTGCATATTTTGGCAATTCTAAGTGATGCCAACGCAATATTGTTTTTAACCGAAGAAATAAAACGAAAGAAAAAACGCAAAGCTTGAACAGACCTTCAAAAAATAAGTAATAAGTAAAAATAATAAGAAATTATAGGTAAAGGACAAATATTGTGAAATTTCTTTAAATTCAACTGATTTCTTTGTTAATGAAATGTCATAATTTTGTGAACACTCAATTCTAAAGTCTTCAGTGTATACTGTGATATTAAAAAAAAACATATATTTTTTTCCCAGTGTGTTACGTTTTATTGCTGTTTTTGTTTTTTTTTGTTGATAGTTGGTAGCCCCCAACTCGCCACTGGAATATCAATAATACATAGTTGTTGCTGGTCCTGTTGTATGATTTGATTTCTTTTTTGTTTTTTAATAAAATGTGGATTTATTTTCATCTCTCTAGAGTGCTATTATGACATACCTACCTACATACTGGGTATGTAGATGTGTGTTCATTTACTGGTATCATATACAGAGCACTCGCTTTGAACATGATTGCAGACATCATGTCGTGAATTTTGGTTGACCAGTGATGTCAATGTTTGCAAACAAAACGCGGACTTTTTAAAAACCGTTATAAGGGGAAACCAATTAATTTTTGAGTTTTGCCTCTTTAAGGCGAAGATCATATGTTTATGATTTATGTGTTTATTTCTCTGTCGAGACGAGCTCTATAATCTGAAATTTGGAGTGAAAAGGAAAGCCAGATAGACACTTTCACACACTCACCACTATGCGACGCGTTTCGCCGTTGGTTAAGCGGCTCTCTGGAAAGTAGTATTTATTTCAAAAAAAAATATATATTCCACTGACAGCTCATTATATTGTTTACAGGCGTACAAAAGCATTTTTGTGAGAATTTTCCAGAAAAGAAGCTATTTGTGATGGAATTTAAGCGTGATAGTGTGATTTCTTTATCCTTTAACTCCTGAGGTGGTGGTAAATTTTACCCTCCCTTCACATTTTTTTGAAATTCTCTATTCTATTACAATGAATAAAAATTTTGTTCACCTCAGAATTTAAAGGTTATATTTGGCTGGACAACCACAAGTGGCTATCGTCATCTGAAAATGTGCACCTTCGATTTGCCACCAGAACTCAAGCGCTGGCCATGGTGATGGTGTTGGCCAAAACGCCATAACACCCGATGGTCGCTCTCCGCTCGTATTAATCGACCGTGTCTGATGCCATAAATGCCGAATATTATCGCGAAAATATTCTGGAAGGTGTATTAAAGCCTTGGGCAGGCAAACATTTTTGCCGCAGACCTTGGACATTTCAACAGAACTCAGCACGTGCCACCCAATAATGGTTACAAAATGAGGTTCCTCGCCACATTTCCAAAATGGTCACCAAAATCTCCGGATACCAATCCGTTGGACTATTGTGTCTGGAGTATTTTGGAAAGCAAGGTTGGCACTAAAAAATACCAAAGTGTCGATCATCTCAAGCAAGCGCTTCGCCGGGAATGGGCTAAAATTCATTGGCCGTTTGAATTCCATAATTCGTACCAAAGATGACCAATTCGAACAAATCTAAACTTATTCTAAAATTTGATGCTATTTCCATTTTTTGTTTTATTACGGCGTTTGACTTTGTTGCAATTTTTTATTTCACCCTGTATAATTTTGAATAATTCTGACAGGAAACGGGCAAAGCCTCAGGACTGTATTTCTGAAGTTTTCCGAAACTTTTCTACCTCCTTATTTTAACATGGCTATTATTGTAGTACAATGAATGCAATGTCGCATAAGTTTGGCAAAATTTTAAAGAACGACCCATGTAGGGGGTTATTTAACTTTTTTTTTTTTTTTTTGAGTTACCGACAAATATCGGGCTAATAAAATGGCAAAATTATAAATGTTGGTCGCTAAATTGTCAATTACCGAAATTGTTAGAATTTTAATTTTTGTCGGTTACTTAAAATATTAGTTGGCGAATCGCTGATTGTGTTGTCGAAATTGCCACAAATCAAGGCAATGCGATTTTAATTTTTTTTAAATAAATAATCAAAAGAGTGTTTGATTATCTTAAAAAATGTATATAAAGGGTGATTTTTTAAGAATTATAGAAAAGTTTTTCAAAAAATAATAAATAAATTGATAAATGAGTAAAAAAACTAAATTCTTAAAAATGCAAGAAATCTTCATTTGAATTGGTAGTACGGTCCACATAAATTAAAATTTAAAAATTATTTCATGCAAATATTGATCGCGACTGCACCTCAAATGATTTATCCGTTTAGTCCAATTTTGGCGCACTCTTTGCAACACTTCGTCCAGTAACTCATGAATAAATGCTTCAATGTTGTCTTCCAATAGCCACTTGCTGCTATTATAACTTTAAGAGGAACTGCATTTTTTGATGTAAAAAAATGGTTAAAACTTATTTCTCGTGTATGTAAATGATGTTTTTCAAGCTAAAATAAAAGAGGAAAACTTTGAAAAGTTAAAATTAATATAATTAATAGTAGCTACGCGAATTTACAGTTGACGGAAAAAGACGATTAATTGAGATCGATTCATGGGTCCTTCCATAATCCATTAATTGGCTTCCACATCAATTTTATTCATTAGATCTCTCCCCACCAATTCAAAGAAATGCTTGATGACAAGATTTTATTTTATTTTGTACTTTGTCTCGTGATATGGTTAGATTTAATTTTAGATAGATTTTACCTTTCTGTATATAAAATAAAAATAAATGAAAATTACATGAGTTATGTCCCAAATAACTTGGAGCTTGGGCTCATTTTGGTGTAAAATTAAACTTTAATATGTGTTTATGAATTTACCCACCAGATGCGCGTAACATTGGCATCACTGTTAATTGGCTCTCTACAATGTCGCTCGCACACTCTCTTTACCACCGTCTCTTTGTTTGACAAGTTTGTTTTTTTTTTTTTGTGCAATACTACATTGATTTCCATTGTGTTGCTGCTGCTGCCACCGCTGTTTGTTATTTTTCGTTTCGTTTTTTTTTTCTTCTAATTTTAAAGCAAGTGTCTGAAAAGCTTAAAAACACGTTCCTGAATTATAGTTTCAGAAACTAACAACTTTATAGCGTTATGTGTCTGGCTAGCTGGCTGGCTATTTAATATTTATCAGCACAACACTTTATTTTTGTTTTGTTTTGAATATGTTTACCTTCGAGACAGAAATGACGTTATAAAATTTTAAATTGTTTTGGTTTATTTTTTTTCTTCTTGTTATTATTTCTATTGTTCCTGAAACTTTCATTGTTGTAAGCGTCTCGGTCGGTCGGTCGGTCGGTCGGTCTGGGCATCTTTTTTGGGTGAGTGTGAATTAAGTGTTATCAGCATTTATAGTAGACGGCTGTTATTGGTTTCAATTTCTACAGTATGAGCTAAATTTATGCAACGTTGTTTTGTTTTTCTTTTGTTGGGAATTGAATTAAGCAACTGGTACAAAACGATATAAGGTACATATCTTGCCATTTGATTAACATCTTTTCTTATGGCCCAGGCTTCATCGAAAATAACAGTTTTTTGACCCCATATTTATCTGAATCAAATTTAAATTGCTATATCGGACATTTCATTTTCACTATTTTCTGTTTCCTATTGAACTTTAAAATGGTGTATATAGTACAAAACAAGTTTGACCGTGGAATAGGTTAAAGTCGTTCATACATACCTAGACTAGGAAGAGGAAAAGGTAACTATAATTTTAAAATTATAATAATGTGTATATATTATATATTTATCTTTGTGGACTACAAAAGGTGAATGTACGCTAACTTTTAGGCATGTTCAAAAGTGTGTACCCACTCACCTAAGCCGGTGTTTACTCAAGATAAATTTCATTGTAGCCGAGTTGTATTTTACTACCTCTTGCCGTGGTAGAATTATTGGTTTAATATATCCGGGTCTGGAACAAGAATAGGTCAAGATCTGGATACCACAAGTAAAAATAATTTCTCGGAATCATGGTATAAATACTTAAAGCTGAAAAAATCCGACAGTTTTTACGAAACTAGGATTCAGTCAAAATATTTAACTTTTATGTTAAATTTGTATTTTTACTTTTCCATTGCATTTCAACAAATTAGATGATGTTGCACAAACGTTCACAGAAAATAATCTCAGAGTGCAGTGTATCTGAGAATAATTAACGACGTCCAGATTACATAAATTATTGGTGATCATAAAATTGTAAAAAACAGTATATAAAACAAGTTAAAAAGTATCAGTCGGTATTGCCGCCAGAGATATACCCTCAGCCTATGTTCGATTATCTAAATATATTTTGACTAGTGTTAAGGTTATTCAAACGTTTGGCCCTCTATGGAGCAGATTCCGAAGGAATGGGCCAATATTACCCATTTCCTATCAGACCCAAAATATGATATAAATATTTCGACAGATGTGCTAAGTCTAAATGGAATCGGATGTTAATTTGGCGATTTATGAGCTTCATGGGTACTCAAAATTTCAATATTTTGTGGGGGAGGTACCAGAAGGAGTGGACCGATGTATTCCCCCTTCACACCAGACCATGGGCTGATACAAATATTAGGATGTGTGAAATTTGAAGACAATCGGACTTTTACATCACATTTAATGAGATTGTAACTATTCAAAATTTTGACCATTTGTGGGGGAGGTACTTGATGGAGTGGACCGATATTGTCCATTTTCACGCCTGTCCTAGCACTGACGCAAATATTAGGATTCGCAAAGTCGGAGCAAATTCGGATTAGCCTTTCTTTTTCTGTGCAAAAAATATGTTTTTTTTTTGAAAATTTCGAACTTTTGTGGGGGAGGTACCAGAAGGAGTGGGCCGATATTGTTCATCTTAACACCAGACCTTGGGTTAATATAAATATTGGGATGTGTGAAATTTGAAGACAATCGGACTCTTACATAACATTTTATGAGAGTTGTAATTATTCAAAATTTTGACCATTTGTGGGGGAGGTACTTGATGGAGTGGACCGATATTGTCCATTTCCACACCTGCCCTAGCACTGACGCAAATATTAGGATTTGCAAAGTTGGAGCAAAAATGGAATATCCTTTCTCTTCCTGTGCAAAAAATATATTTTTTGAAAATTTCACCTTTTGTGGGGGAGGTACCAGAAGGAGTGGACCGATATTGCCCATCTCCGAACTCGATCTAAGTTTGACAAAAAAATTACGATGTAGCCAATTTGGGCCAAATCGGATACTCCCTTCGAGAGTTATCGTGCGCACCAGCCAGACAGACAGACAGACGGACGGACGGACATCGTTAGATCGACTCCAAATGTTCTGAAACGGATTTGGTCCAAACAGACCTAGGGTCTAAAACCGTTATTTCGACTAGGCACGTTTTGGCCGTATCAAATGATATATACCCTCTGTAGCCATATGGCTGAGGGTATAATTACCAAAATCCGATCAACTCCTAAATTTTTCATTTTTGTGACCACTTTCGAATGCAAATGCCCACTTTGGACAATACTGATAACCCGACATAAATAGATAACCTGTAATAGAATTGGTTATTTTGAATATAAATTTGAATTACCACCAAATTTGTATATTACACTGTGCGACACTCTAGCAGATTATGAAAATAGAGCTATAAACAGAAAACAACTGTATCGGCTTTTTAAAGTAACAGCTGTCGTATGAGTGGCTTAGAAATGACAGCAGTCTGAAGTTGGATGCAGTTTTTAAATCTCACCCTGTATTTCATACAAATTATAAATAGGTAAACCAACATGGCCAAAATCTTATATTAACACACAACAGGATAAAGACAGCCTATAACTATATTAATCTAAAAAAACTAAATAAATAACAAACATTTTCATAATCTGCTGGATTTTTCCTGTAATTTTTGTGTTGCACAGTGTTATTCTTAAAAATGTGTCTGTCGTGCCCTATGGAAAGTGATTTCCTTTGCTGTCATCTGACCGCTTTTGCTGAAAATAGAAATATTGCTTCGTTCTATTTTTAGAGAACTTGGAATAGATTTTGTATTTTTTATGATCAGTTCTTCAAGTTACAAAAATCCAGAACGTATTGTACATTGCTTTTAGTAGTTTACTTTCATTAGTCACATAATAATATGGAAATTAAATTTGTTTTCACTTCGATTAGGTTGCCACAATCTTGGGAAAAATCAAATGAGATAATAGGCCAAACTTATAATAAAAAAAAATTAAAATAAAACAAAACAAAAAAAGAATTGGTACAAATTCCAATAGTTCCGCGATTAACACGAACATCAAATGCGTTTTCAAAGGACTTTACTTATTAGCAATTCCCAAAGGTATTGGTTTCAATTTCCTCTAAAAAGAAATCCAAGCCTTAGATGTTGTTTTTCACTAATTCTCACTTTTCGATATTCAAAAGAACTCGAAATGACCCAAAACTATTCTTTAGTGATTGTTTATATTTTGAATTTAGGTTGATTATATCTCATTTTCCCACAAACTTTAAAATTAAATCATATTTTATTAAATACACTAACTATTTTTTTTTCTCTTTTTTGGTTTTAGGCATTAAACGTCTCCTTTGTTGCGACAAGAAGAAGAAGAAGAAGAAGGAGAAGCTGTAGAAAAAAGAACTCCTCCTTAGCCACCTCCGGCTTTATTTTTGTATTTACCCAAAAATTCCAAGGCTAAGAAGCTAGCAGCAAGCAACCAACCCAAAATATATACTAAATGGGACGCCAATTTAGACAAGTGGCACTTCGAAGCCATTTTTAAGAGGATTTTTGTTTCGTTTTTTTATTTTTGCAACATCTTTCAAGAGACGACGCAAGGAAACCAAGCAAGCAAGCAACACTGCCAAAAAAAAATAATCCCTACCACAACAGCAACAGCTATACTGAAAACAAAAGAGGAGAGGGTGGCTCTTTTGTGGAGTAATTCATTGCCTTCTACTCCACGTACGCCGCCTACACGTCGTCGACGTCGTGGTAGTCGTCGTCCTCGTCGCCATCCAAAACATCTAAGCTGGATTTTTTAACTTAAGCACAATTTTTGTTCTAATTTTAATAATTAAAAAAAATATTCCGTAATACATCTCGCCCAACTGCGGCGGACACACCCCCTACATCCCCGCTAAATCAGCCAGACAACAACAACAACAAAAGCAACCAAAATGTTGTACGTTTTTCATGTCGATGTCGGCCGCATGTTAAATTTTGATATGACAGTTGCACTGTCGTCGGTTGAAAATCTCAAAGACACCATTGAACGCCTGCATGGCATACCGGCGGCCAATATTGTCCTGCTGGTGAGTGGCGGTGAAATGTTAATACATTCCACACAAGTCTCATATTATTCAGCCGGCACCGATACAAATCCCATTTACATGTTCTTAACGGGCGATGTTCGCCTGCCAGCCCTTGAGCCTCCCGTGGAGGCAGATTTGGATTTGCGTGAACAGGTCGAACGTAGCCTTGAACTGCCGGCTGTCTATGATACCGTGGTGAGGAGAGCTCAAATTGCATTGCGCATGCATGATTTAGCGCGCGACGAAGAACGGCTGTGCGAACGTTTGGTGCACGATCAACATTTGCAACAGCAGGGCTGGTCGGCGGTGGTAGCCAATTTAGAGGATTTGACGGAGGAATTTCGTCAACGTTTTCGTAATTTCTGCGATGCTTTTGACAAGCATTTGGAAAAGAGGTCATCGTATTTGGAATTGTTGCGGAATTTCGCCGATGATTTAACCAAACTGTCACGTATACCCATTCTGCCGGGTTTAATGCCTCTGGCGGAGGCTGATTTCCATGGATTTGATGAGTTTCTGGAAAATGACGATGTGTTTTCTCGTTCCAAAAATGCCCAGGAATCGGTATTAATGGTGGGTGGTGCTAATAACGAGTACGCGGAGGAAACAGACCCAGAGACACCAAAGAAAGCAGAGGGTGGTGGTGGTGGTGAAGAGGCCGGTGATAATCCCCCAGATGACAAGTCCACCTCATCCACCTCCACATCGCCCAACAAAAAGTTAAAAATGGGCACCGATTCCAATGAAGAGCGCATCTCTCAAACCTCACAGACATCAACGTCATCAACGGCCCGCCGCCTCAATCTTTTGCAATGGATCACCTCCAAGGAGAACCGCAACGCCCTACGGACAATGGCCGAGGAATGTGCCCAGGGCTTGAATACATTTAACGAAGAGATCTACGATAAACTGAAAATCGAAGTCCAAAACATCATCAAACTTGCCGAACAGAATGAGGTCAAGGAAATCAGGGGCCTGGGCGAACGCCTGTGCAAGCTGGAAGAATTCAAATACAAAATAAAAAGTATGGTCAAGGATCAGCGTGAATTGTCCACAGCCTTCCAACAGAATCAAAACAGAGCCATTAACCTCAGAGATGCCTCCATATTACCCGATCTATGTGCCTCGCATCAATCTCAGTTATTGGTTATGCTGCAAAATCATCAGAAAATCCGAGATCATCGGCGCTGCATTGCCAAGGCCAAGGAAGAGTTGGGCTCAAATCTGTATGCCCGTCTGAAACGCATTGTCTTCATTGAGAATGCCATGAGCGAGTTTGATAACCGGCTGTTGTTTTATCTACGCTGTTTGCGCAGGGCCGAGCGGCACATACACATCATAGATCAGATCCATCAGGCACCGAATATGTACGTGGCTGCCGTCACAGAAGTAATGCGCCGTAAAATCTTTTCCTCAGAGTTTCGCCTGTGGGCCTCTAAGTTGGCCGAGGATTTTGATGGCATCCACAGTGAAGAGATGAAACGTCGTCAACAGTTCAATGTCAACTTCGAGGGGCATTTCCTGAATATTTTATTTCCCGGTATGACCGATATGCCGCCGGCCTTTGCCAATGAATATCCACTCGTGTTTGATGCTCGTCTGCCGAATATCACAAAATCGGATATTGATGTTCTTACCACACATTTACCCGAAATGGCCTCGCAGATACAATTGCCCGATATGGAACCTGTGATATATTTTTTTGTTTCTCGTTCGGGTATGCATCAGCGGGAGCGTTTTGAAGAATTGCTCAAAAAGAGAGAGAAGATCGAAATCCAGGAATGTTTAAAACAATTGGCGGCCGAGATGGGTGAGGGCGACTCTGGTTCCTCATCATGTAAAGCCATGCAGACGAGCGGGAAAATCCTGGTAAATCCTCGTGTAAATGAGCTACGTAAAGACACAGGCGGTGGGGGAGGAGGCGGAGGAGTGACGGGCGGCGAAGAATCAGAAACCGATACCGAAACTGAATTCGAACAAGTGGCGGCCGTACAGCAATCTGTTGCAACATCAATGACCGACAACCCATTCCTCCCACAAGGCCTTACAAAAAGTACCGGTACCGAAAGTGTTTTAATGCAAAGTGCCGAAACCCTGACAGAGGAAACAGGCGACTCCCTAAAGGCAGAAGTCACACGTATGCGAGCAATGTTGGGAGCCATGTCTAAATTGGCTTTGGATTGCATACAACTGGCACGAAGTAATCTACAGAGTTTTCGCGAGGAAGCCACAACACAAAAAGAAGATCTCCAGTCAGAATTGCAAAATCTCAATGATAAATGGAATGTGATACGTATGCAATGTGAAGCCCGGGAACAGGATGCCCGCACCATCGAAGAACAAAGAGAACGCGACATCTTACTGCTAAGAGAAGAGCTTAAGAAACGTGAGTGCGAACTGCAGGAGGAAAGGGAGAGAAATGCCGAAATGGCCACGATGCAAATAAAATGTGCAACTCTGGAAGCCCAGCTGGAGGAGTTAAGGGAAAAACTAAAATCAGTGGATGCCGAAAGGGAACAGGCCGTCTCTGAGGCATGTGAAAAACTCATACATGCCCATAAAACCGAGCTGGAGTCACTGCGTCAACGTTTCAAGTTAATGACTTCAATGGAACGTTCACCATCGGATCTTAGTCTAGAAGTACCCACAATGGTCGCCGGCGGCGGCAGCAGCAGCAGCGGAGAACGTAGTCTGGAAAATGTCATTGACAAGACGCAACATGAACAGCAAATGAAGCAACTACGCTCAGAGCTGGAAGCTGAAAAAGAAAAGGCCATAACGGCAGCCATTGAAGTGGAACGCTCCATATGGCAATCGAAAATATTCCCACTCAATTCAGAATCTGTGATGGCCAACGTTGGCATTCTTAAGCAAATGATTGTAGACAAGGAGCGCCAACTGGAGCAATTGCGCGAAAAGGATCTAATGTTGACAAAGGAAAATTTCCAATTGAAAACACGCCTGGATGCGTTGACCAACGAGGAGGGCAACAGTTGGCTAAAGGAGAAAATCGATTATTTGAATCGTGACAAGTGTCGCCTGGAGGAGGAACTAAATCAGGAGAAATCGAAACGTCTAGAAATGGAAACATCTGTTGCAGCTCTCAAGGGGTAAGTTGACAAAATGAGGAAAAGAAAAAATGATAAAAGAGGTTATTACTCCATTTACATTTGCCTTCCAGCTCCACTTATGAACAATCTACCTTGCCACGTTCCAAATCCAGTGGTTCTAGTCAGAAATCCATCATATTGGAGTCGTGCACCAAAGGTGATTTGGTCTTTGTCGTCTGGAGCATGCGTCACGGCCAATTTATGGTTGTACAAGATTCCCCCAGTTTATATTTTGTTCATGGTGACAGTTTGGCTGCACTGAATTTACGTTTACCCCAACCGGGCGATGATACCAGCATACCAATGCCTTACTATGCCATTGGTCGTGTGGTAGAAAAGGAGTATTGTCAGGCTCGAAAGGTAAATTGGGAATTGTGTTTTTTTTTTTAACCATTGTTTGATTATCTATTTCTTTTCTCTTTCTTGCAGGATGAAAACCGTTATCGTGTCAATAGAGGCTCTAAATTTTATCGTATTAAATTGGTACCATTGCTATTCAGGCAGTCGGTTAGACGTGAACGTTTAGAATGTAAGTGTGGAACATGTGCAATTGGGTTTCGAACCGAAGGGGTTGAATTTTAAAGGATTGGAGGACTTTCAAACTCTGCAAGGGTATTTCAAGGGGCTGTGCTTCCAAGAATGTTGACTGATTATTGAAAATCACTGGAAGGCCTTTAAAGCCAAGAGATCATAGCATAGAAGATATCCGAAAGATCTAATTAGCGACACAGAAGACAGCCAATATTTAATCTAATCTTAGACGTACTTCAGACCGTATTTTTTCTCATATCTTAAAACCACTTAAAGATCTTTAAATAGAAAAGAGCTCCAAGAGTTCCTCTTAGCATGGAAGACGAATGACGTTCAATTTAAATATAAATATTTATAGAGATATTCAAGAGATCATAGGATATATAGTATTCGAATTGTCTTGTAAGCGCAGAAGACACCCAATAGTTAATCTTAGCTTTGACAATCTACAGACCGTAATACTTCAGCTTTTACAATTATCAAAATCCCATTGAAGATCACTCATAGATTCTCACAATACGGAAGGGTTCCAAAAGAACCTCTTAGAAAAGAAGGCTAACCACACAAGACCTCTTTAAAACCCATTATGTTTCATATAGGAATGACGTCCAATTTGAACATTTAAATATTAAAAGAGATATACAAGAAATCATAGCATGGATGATATTCAAATGGCGTAGAAGGCTACCAATAATTAATCTCAGCTAAGATGAAATTTAGAACCTATTTCTGCATAGCTTTTAAAACTACCAGAAACCTATTGAAGACCACAATAGAGAAGGTCTCCAAGAGGTCGTCTTAGAATAGAATGCTTACAACACATATGGGAATGACGTCCAATTTGGACATTTAAATATTAAAAGAGATATACAAGATGATATTCAAAAGTCCATGTAAGCGTAGAAGGCTACCAATAGTTAATCTAAGCTTAAACGAAATTCAGAATCTATTTCTACATAGCTTTTAAAAGACAGAAGATCTTCACAATACACAAGAGGCTCCAAGAGTTCCTCTTAGAAACGAATGCTTATAACAAATATGGAAATGACATCCAATATGAACATTTAAATATTAAAAAAATATCGAAGAGATCATAGCATAGATGCTATTCGGAAGTCCATTTAATCGCGGAAGACACCCAATAGTCTATCTAAGCTTAGACGAACTACAGAACGTATTTCTGTTTAGGTTTTTAAACTACCAGAATCCTATTGAAGACCACAGTACAGAAGATCTTCACAATACAGAAAAAGGTCCTCTTAGCATAGAATGCTAACCACACAAGATCTTTTTGGAACTTACTGTCTTGGACAAGTGATGTCCAATTTGAAATTTGAAATGTTCATATATCTTTTAATATTAATGTTAATATCTCCAAGAAATCAAGGTATAGATAATATCCGAAAGATTTTATGGGTCACACACAGAAGACACTCAATAGTTAATCTTAGCTAAGAAGAACTACAAACCGCTCCCCTTCGCAGGTTTTAAAACTATCGGAATCCTATTGAAGGTCATCCATAGATCTTCACAATATAGAAGAGCTCCATGAGATCATGGAATGCTAACACCAAAAGATCCTTAAATTAACTACTATTTTGGAAATCCCTGTCTGCTGCAGATCCTAAATATGTCTTCATAAAATCCAGTAAAACTCTTTGAAGGTTTTTTTATTATTCCCTATATAGAAGCAATCCTCTTTCTTTTACAAAAAAACTAACAGTTTTCTATTTTGAGAGAATGTCGAATGGTCGTCCACTTTGAAAATTGATATCTCTATCTTTAGCAGACCCTAAAAATGATTTAATAAAATCAAGTGAAAATGCCAAGTGGCTCTTTCTGTCCCTTCTCATTTGAACGTTTTTCTATATTCGCATGGAATTTTTCAAGAAAAATCCCAGCTACAGTTTTCTACCTATATTGGAAAAATTAAACATTTTTTTCCCACATAAAGAAAATCTCCTCAGAATTTCGCGGGGTTCTTTATCACCAGTAGTGCTTACAAAAACCAAAAAAGAAGAATAACTTCAGAATATTTTATCTGTGGAAGATGCCGTTTTGTTTTTAAATTTTTAGGGTATTTCTCAGGTGTTTTTGTATTTAGCAGACATTTTATGGACCTCAATCTAAAAAAAATCTTAGGAATCACAAAGCCTTTTTACAGCACATCCCTACGATCTCCTTAAAACCTTCACTTAAAGTTCCCAAAAGAGCCTTCTCTAGAAGACGTTCTAAGAGACTTCGTCATTCCGAAGGCATACTAAATAAAACCCTAAGTGCATTTTATCAGTGGGAGACGTTACTTTGTTCTTCAATTTTTGGGATACTGCTAAGGTGTATTGTGTATTTAGCAGACATTTTATGGACCCCAAACCAAAAAAATCTAAAGAAATCACAAAGGCTTTTTAGAGCACATCCCTACTATCTCCTTAGAATCTTCATTTAAAGTTTTCAAAAGAGACTTCTCTAGAAAAAGTTTTAAGAGACTTCATCATTCCGAAAACATACTCTCTCTGATGATCTTCAATATTTTCCCAGAACTTTTCGATCTTTCAAATAGGCCCCAAAGCCTTTCTACTTACTTACCTTCAGTAATTCATATCTAAATCAAATCATTTCTCATTTAAATTGCAGCATTCACCACATCAATTAGTCGTTCAATATCACAAAGTGAGTCTCATGGCGGCGATAACATACTGGCGCCATCTTCTTCATCGGCAACAAACACATCGTCGTCATCATCACCATCATCGACAGCTGTATTGGGTTCGGGCACAACACCATCATCATCGTCGTCATATTCAACGCATGGTGTAACTTTAACTGCAGCAAAGGATGTTGTTGATTCCACTACAAGTGGCAGCGGAGCTGCAACAACATTACCAATGGCCACATCTCCCATAACTGTTATAACAACTACAGCCAGCAGCTCCAGTCACCATTCATCAGCTGGTAATGTTTCGGGTCCCCAAATGTTAACCTTTAAGGAGCGTACCATGAGCATTACCAGTGTGACGGAAGAGGATGATGAGCCGGTGTCATTGTTAAGTGAACGTTGCCGCTACATCAGTGTTAGTGAGGAGGATGAAAATGCCATTGCGGAAATGGTGGCCGAAACAATGGTGACATCGGCAAATGCCGCAGCAGTTACGTCAGCCGCTGCAACATCATCATCTTTGTCTATGTCACTGACAATGTCGGCGACAACAGCGGCGCCCACAACAACAACAACAACAAATCAACAAACAACTGTGATAACAGAGCAGCCAACAGCAACAGCCAGCAAATTGGAATTAGATTTAATGTTGGCCTCTGCTGATATAAATACAACATTAACCGATACAATAACAACAACAACAACACAAGATAATAATGAAAACATTACAACAACAACAACACAAACGAATACAACTAGTAGCAACATCCCCCATAATCCCTCTGCATTAAGTTCAACGACAGCTGATGTAGATGCAAGCAACAGTGGCTATGGCGATGACGACGACGACGTTGCAACACCACAAATTGTGGTGGCATCTACATCATCAGCAGCAGCATCATCATCCGCAACAGCAGCAGCAGCAGCAACTCCTCTTTTTATAACTCCTTCATCCAATGAAGTCGCTGACAAAAGCTCACCTTCCATACCAACATCGATTGGTACCACAACAAGTGAGGATTCGGATGAATATCGATCATTGGAACCAAAAGATGATACGGATTTTCCAATATCCGAATAGTGTTGAAATTTATTATTTCAATGCTATTCTATGCTAATGATATTACAACAACAACAACAGCGGACAATGCTACAACATCATGGCTTGGTGACATTGATTAAATAACACAAAAACTAAGTAAATAAATTATTAACGACCGACAATGACGACGATAGATTGATTCTAATGCTAAAATAGTAAAGCTGACCAACCACAATAAGAATTACAACACTAGTGTTAATTAACAGAAACGACAAACGACAATTCTTTAATACAACAATTTACTATTATAACAAAACAACAACAACCAGAAGAAATACAAACTACTACTACTATAACTACTCCTTTAATGTTGTGCTGCTATTCTCTAAATGTTTACCAAAAAAAAAAGAAGAAAAAGAAAAAAAAAAACAAAACAAATGAAACTAAATCAAATTACAAACCGAAATACAATACACAATAATTGTTCTAAAAATAATAATGAAAAGAAAAAAAATGGAATAAATACTGCAAACCAGTAATGTTTTAATTGTACACACAAAAAGAACACAACCACACTCACTCCCACTCCCCAAACAAACAAATTTTCGGTTAAAAAATATATACCTACACCAAAAGAGAAAATCCAAACAAAAAAATGTGTTTTTCAGATTCAAAAGAATCTTGAAATGCAACATACATTTTGATTATAATTTCAAAATCATTTCGAAACCAAAAAAACATCCATCACTTCAGATTGATTTTTTATCATTGGAAATCTATCTAAGCATTTGAATGATGAAATGAAATGAAAGACATTTAACGAACGGCCATATCTTCTGGGTGTTTTCATGCTGAAACAACGTTTTGAAAGGCAGAAAATATATTCGAATAAAAATTAAATTATTTGTAAAATTTATCGTGTACTTCAAAGAAGAGACTCTTTGCTCTATCCAACACATTGTTACTTGACATTGAAAAATTGTTTAATTGAATCCCTAAATCGATCGAAATCGCTATATTTGATTTATATATATAACAGACATTAGAGCAACGTATGAAGTAGATTTGAATAAAAAAAGGAAGACATTCAACTATTTTTCCATAAAAATTGACTAAGAATCAAGAGGCTTTTATTCAATTTTAAATGTTTAAAAAATATTACTGAAGAGCATAAAATCATTTCCAATATAAATTGTGAGCATAATTCGCTTTCTTGAATTATTTTCAAAATTAATCGTCTACTTCGAAGAGAGACTTTTTACTCAAACCAAAATCATTGTTATTTGAAATTGAAAAATCGTTTTATTAATATTCTTAACAACAAGCTCTCATTTATATAACATACATTAAAGCATAATGAATTAAATTGAATGAAAAAGGAAGATATTCAACTATTTTCTCCACAAAACATGTTTATTCAATTTTAAATGCTAACAAATATTGCAATCTCTTTGATTATGGAGCCATAAGTTAAAATTTATTTGTATTTTCCTCAATTTCAATTGAAATCAATATAATTTCAATTTAATATTTGACATCAAAGCACTTTTAAGTCAATTTCAAATATTAAAAAAATATATATATTTATGTGCAAAAATACATAGAAGGCTTTTGTCGGCTTAAAGGTGAGAATACATAAAACGCTTTTTTTTTTGAGTTGGTTAAGTCATCGGCTAGCTTCTTTGGAAAATAACAAGGGAGCGTAGGGCCAAAATCGAACTAAGTCAACCTTAAACTCCTTTGTTCCTCTACAAAGAAGCCAGCCGTTGACATAAGCCAGTCAAAAAAGCGTTTTAGTGTGGAAATACATAAAGCGCATATTTGGCTGGCTTAAGTCATCGTCTGGCTTCTTCGTGGATGAACAAAGGAGTTTTAGGTTGGCCTAGTTCGATTTTGGCCCTGGGCTCCGTTGTTCATTTCCTAAGAAGCCAGCCGATGACTTAAGCCAACCAGATAAGCGCTTTATGTATTCCCACCTTTATGTATTCTCGTCTTAAGTTATTGGCTGGCTTCTTGGTAAAACAACAAACAAGGTAGATTTAATAGGTAACCGCATCGGTGAATTGCTAAAACAAAGCAACTTTTGTGGTACCCTCAAATGTCAAAATTGTCATCTAAGGCGAAAAACATACATTCGCCATGACATTTAAAGTTTGCGGCAATTTTGTTTCAACCAATCAGAAACGAGGTGTTTATTTACATTTTATGTTGTGTGTGGAAATTAAGCCAAAGTAATAATACGACTTTCGGGGACCATTGTAACAGCCTCAAGTGGATAGTTAGCCCCTGAAATGTTTATACAACCCCACAACTGTAATATCTTTTACGTCATCGGCAAATACCTCCAATATTCCAGGCAATGTTGGTAACCGGAGGTTACACCGACTCCAACATATGGCACAACAGAAGCAAGTTTTGACGATTAAATGGTTTTAAAGAAAGAACATAGCACCAATTTCGCCACCAGTAAAAGCCCTCTTGGTAGCAGAGCCGATGCAAATTCCCCAAATCATACAAAGAGTTTTCACATACCACAGGGAGCTGGAAGAGATGGGGCTAGTAGAAGTTTGGATAAGACCAACTGAGTCATAGCTCTCGTGTCTCACGGTTTTTCTTATTGCAAATGGAACACTTTTTAATTTTTCTCATTTTCTTTTTAATTTTTTTTTACTGGTAATTCACTCTAAACTTGCTCTTAAATTTTGAAATATCAAAAAAAATACTTTTAGTGAAGTTGACATAAACATTTTTGTTTTTGTGTTGCATTTATTTAGGGCGAATTCAGCATTACAACAACTTGTTTTGACATTTAAAGGTGCCGTTAGCTGGGGTGATGCGACTACCTAGTAGATCTACCCTAAGTTTCCTTTGTGCTTTTACAAAGAAGCCAGCCGAAGACTTAAGCCTGTAAAAAACCCTTCAATGTATTTCCACCAGGGTTGGGCATATTGTACTAAATTTTTAGTGCACTAAGAATTAAATAATTAGTGGTAGTGCAATTTTTAATTCCACTACCACTAAAGGGTTAGTGGTAGTGAAAAATAAATTGCACTACCACTAACTCTTTAGTGTTATTTAAAAAAAAATTGCACTACCACTAAATTTTAGTGGTAGTGAAATTTTATTAGCACTACCACTAAATTTAGTGATTTTTCAAATAAAATTTGCACTACCACTAAATTTTAGCGAAGCCAAAAAAAACACTATGTATATAAGTATTATACCAGCTATAATGAAGTTTATTGAAGTGAGTAGGGAACAACAATCCAGAATATATAGTACATATTCATAAAATTTGATTACTTTTTCTAAATAGCACTAATTTAGTGCTATTTTTTATGAAATACCACTAATTTAGTGCAAGATTTTTTTAAATACCACTAAATTTAGTGGTAGTGCTATTGAAATTTCACTACCACTAAAATTTAGTGGTAGTGCAATTTTTTTTAAATATCACTAAAGGGTTAGTTGTAGTGCAATTTATTTTTCACTACCACTAACCCTTTAGTGGTAGTGGAATTAAAAATTGCACTACCACTAAATGAACAGTGATAGTGAAATTATTAGTGCACTAAAAATACAGTTCATTATGCCCATCTCTGATTTCCACCTTTGCAATGTTTTTTTTTTTTTTTTTTTTTTAATAGAGTCATATTAATACAATTTAAATTAAATGGTTAACATGAAAATACTTTAACTCAATTTAAAATATTTAAAAAAATATTGCAATGTCTTTAATTGTGGTGTCATAGTTTTATTAGCTACAACGTCTTATCTCCAGAAGGCTTCTTTCGGTCGTTTCCCAAAAAAATTATAAATATTCGCTTCGAAATAAAAATATAGCGGCGAGTTTCTACTTTAATGTTTTTAGAAGTAATGTTATATATAATAAATAAATATTGTTATAAATTGTAATTCTTCCCAAGATCTGGACCCTGAATATTATTGCTTCGAAAATCGGCTTATGCAGAGGAGAAAGAGCTTACCCTCTTTACTTTGGTAGAGAATTAAATGTCTTTGACTATGACCAACATTTTTGATTGATTCATGGACTTTATGGAATGGTCGGCTTAAAAAACTGGCATATTCTTACGGAAATCTAAAGCACACTACCTTGAGAATTCAAAAAAGTTTTCGATGGATACCCATCTTAAATATGACTAATAATTTGCGATGACTTTAAACTGGGGATAAATCCGATCGTAACATAAAAATTTTTGAGAGTAAATGTTATATTTAACAAACTAAATTTTTTTATAAAATGTAATTGTTCTCGAGATGTCGACCCTAAACGTTTTACGAGAATTTTTGTATTTATTTCGTTGCTTTGGAAGTCGACCAATGCAAAATGAGTAAAAAGACCCTTTCTCTCTGGCCTTTATCAGACAATTTAATGTCTTTGCCTAAGAACAAATTTTTGGATGAATGCAAAAGCTTTTTGTAATTATCCGCTTAAAAAGAAAAACCAGCATATAAAGGAAATATTCTCAAGGAACTCAGACTCTTGACAAGTCAAAAGGTTTCCGAGGGCTATCTATGAAATGATTTGCAAGTACTCTGAACAGGGGATTCATCTTTCAATCCGATCGTAACATAAAGCAGAAGTCGGCGAAGTGACGAAATCTTTTTAAGAAATATTTCTTGGATTTTATTAAAAGTCTTTCTAGAGTTATTAAAAATAATCTTGTGCTCTTCAAAAACGAATACCCTTTTCTCTGTTGCACAAAGTCACATTCAGAACCTTCCATATACCGATTCAAATAATAGTCTCCGCGTCAATTTTTTTTTTAATTCAATGTAATATATTTTTTCATTCTTGTTAAAGAATTCAATGGTCCTCCTCTTTCATATAAGGACCTACTGACCAGAAAAATTGTTGTCTATTTTAAGAAATCCTTTTTGGATTTTATAAGAAGTCTTTCTAGAGTTATTAATGAAAATCTTCTCCTCTTCAAAAGCGAACACCGTCTTCTCTGTTACAAAAAGACATGCCACTTTCAGAACCTTCCATCTACCCCACATTTTTTCAATTTAATGTAATATATATTTTTTATATAAGAAACTACTGACCCAAAGACTTTTGCCTTCTAAATTAAACACTTTTTTAAATTTATAAGAAGCCTTTCTAGAGTCTTTAAAGAAAGTCTTCTGATCTTCAATAACGCATACCATCTTCTTTGTTACAGTGGTTTCTACAAAGACATGCCACTTTTGAGAATTAACGTTATCCTTCCATCTACCGATTCAAATGGTCTCAGGCCCATATTCTTCTATTCAATGTAATATATTTGTTCATTCTTGTTTAAGAAGACCTAAATGTTCACTTCCATATGAAGAACTACTGACCCAAAGACATCTGCCTTCGAAAAGAAAGACTTTTTAAAATTTATAAGAAGCCTTCTATAGTATTTAAAGAACGTCTTCTGATCTTCAATAACGTATACCATCTTCTCTGTTAGAGTGTTTTCTATAAAAACAGAGGACTACTACTACTCTACTCTGTTGCAAAAAGACCTGTCCCAGTTTTTTCTAAAAAGACATCTCTCTTTTAGCACGTCCTTTTGATTTCCTTTAAAAAATACCACCTAATTCAAATGGATTGGATTCAAGTGTTATATCAAAGATGATTTGAAAAGGCAACCGGTTAAGTTTAAAAGCTATTTAGGCAGGTGGTCTTTTCAAGTCTTCTTTGATATTGAATCCAATAGAAAGAAACATCGCTTACATATAATTATTTCTGGAACCAATCTAAAGCTGCTCTCCTCAAAGTCTTCTAGACTTGTTAGCAGCTTTTAAATAATTTTCTCCTGATTTTAGAGGTTTTTAAAAGACACTAGTCTTTTAGGAAATTCGTTAAATAGTTTTCATCATCTGTATTCTTTTTGCCAAAGTTTTTCCAATTTATGAACACTAAAGACCGATTATACTAAATTGTATTCTTTTAATAGCAGACACAATAGGTAGTCTTCCTGCCACCGAAAAAGAGAAAAATCGGAGTATTCAATTCCACTTTTTAATCTCTTATGATGGAACATCACTTATCTCCTTAAAATGTCCAATATGCAAAAGACAGTCCTGACTTGTTAGCAGTTTTCAAATAACGTTCACCTAATTTCAAATCAATCAGAAGGCCTCTAAAGACGCTACACTTTTGTATAGCATATATTTTAAATAGTTTTCATCATGTGAATTATTTTCGCTAAAGATTCTTAATTTATGCCACTCTAAATTTGATCCTTAAGCAAACCGTTTATATTAAATTGTATTATCTTAATAGCAGACACTAAAAATAATTTACCTACCACCAAAAAGGGGCGCATTAAATTCCACTTTTTAATCTCTTTGTTTTTAATTAAAGAATTTCGGGGCCTAATAGTTAGGATACAAATGGTTTCATAACTATTTATTTAATCGTCCCATTTACACTTTAATTCAACTTTAAGAACCGCTTATGAAACCCTTAACCAAATGTCTTTCAGGCTTGTTTATAAAAATAAAATCCTGAGCAATTACTGTACGACGGAACATTACTTCCATTTTTCTGGAAGCAATCTAAAATTTGTCTACTTAAAGTCTTCAATGTCCAAAAAACAACTGTGACTCGTTTGTAGCTTTCGTATAACTCTTATCTCAAAAGACGCGACTCTATAGCAAACACTTTAAATAGTTTGCTTGTTTTCGCAAAGGTTTTTTAATTTATGGAAATTATAAATCGGTCTCATTTCAGCCGGGGGGAGATCGTTTCATTTTTTTTATATATTTATATTATACTAAATTGTATTTTCCCAATAGGAGACTCCAAAAAATAATCTTTTGGGAAAAATACACTATTTTACTCAACATTTCAACCTATTTTTATAAATAAAAAAATTTCAAATTATTTTTGGAACCTATGTAAAATTCGTCTCCTTCAAGAGTCTCCAATAGGCAAAAGACAATATTTTTATCGATAATGCAATTTTTCTTGATATTTATTAACTTGACATTGCGAGATTTTTGAAACTTACATACATCTCGGAAAAAAAATTTTGATACCAACACATAGACATTGCATAAATGACTTAAAATTTTTTTTTAAATATAAATTGAAATTGTTTCTTCTGGATATTGGATTCTTGTTAGAATTTTGATGAAATTTTAAATTTTTTTAAATGACAATGATGTGAGCATATACCCTTTTTTGCTTTCATATTTAGGTAAAAGTTTTTCATTCGATTCGATTTGTTGTGTTAAGATCCTCATATTGGAATTTTCGATTCGTCAAGTAATAATGATTCCCATTTTGCTTTCATCTTAAATTTAAGACTTCATTCGATTTGATTTATTTGAAAAGAAATATATGTGGTGAAGGCTAAGTTAAAATACACTTTTACGAATAAAATAAAGTTATCTAAAGAGGTTCTAATTCATATTACAAGCTAAACAAAAAAACCAATACATGAAGACATTCAGAATATGGCTTAACATTATTAGCATGGTAAAAGAATCCAGGTAGTCGCATCGACGCAGCTGCTGGGACAATGAACTGTCAAACTGATTTTGGAATTGAAAATGTTGAATGAAAAATTATTGAAATTGGTGAAAATTGTTGAAAAATGCATATTATAAGAAACTCCGACTTTCATCATATAAGAAAACATTTAAAAATCCACTTATTTTTGACAAAACTTTTCAAAAATTTTGACATACAAAATGTTCCCAAGCGTTGATGCATCTACCTATATTCTTCTACCCTGATTATTAGTAACCCTCCAGAACATTTCTAATTTGAACTTTCCGAATATTAAGTAAACCACACATTATTAAAACTAAAGCGGACGTTTTCCTTTATAAAAGGTATTATTATTTTTCATTATTTTTTTAAAAAACGAAAAATACATCCTTCCTACCTATTATACAAAGATAAACAAACAAACACACACCACCAATACACTCTATATAAATGATCATCTAACAACAATCTAATTAAAAATTAGTTTAAAAGTTAAAAATAAAACTATTAATTTTTCTACTTTTAATTAGTTTTATTGGAAGAAAGAAGAAAAGAAGAACGAAAACGAAAAAAGAAAGTAATTATTTTATAGTACACACACACACAATTTTGAAACAACAAATTGCTTTAATAAGTTAGAAGACGTACTCTATATCTCTCTATCTCACCCCACCCAAAATGGAATCAAACAAAAATATTTTTTCTCAAAAACAAACAAATGTTTTAATTAAAGTTATCAAATAAAAAAGTGTAACAATAAATACAAAAAATTTAATTTTAACAAATAACAAATTTTGAAATTGTTAAAGAAAGAAAGAAACAAAAAATAACAAAACAAATACACTGAAGTGATAGTTTTCTTCTCTCTCTATCCTTATTATTATTATTATTATTATTATTATTATGTTTCGGTTTAATTAATTAGTTTATTTTTAAATATTATTATTAATAATAAAAACAAATTTTATTCAAAAATAAACTCCTATTCTCCTTTTTCTCTTTCCCTTTGTAAATAGTTTTATCTACATTTTCGATTTGGAACAAAGAGTAAAGAATATAAATTTAATCTACAAACAGAAATGAAAACAATAAACAATATGTATATAGTTAAATATCGACAAAAAAAAACAACAACAAAAATCAAACTTAAAATATATTTGCTTTAAATAAACAAACAAACAAAAAAAACTGTAAAAGTGAAATAAAATCAAATAAAAAAGAAATATTAAATAAAAGTATATGAAAAATGTGTTATTTTTTATAATGTAAATAAAATTGTTGAGAGTCCTCCAGGCTATATTCTTTGGACATACAGGACAGCATTTTCCCGTTACTATTCTGTGGGAACAATAAGGTAGGAATAACAAGGAATTGTTAAGTAGTCATTGGCTTAACCCTGTCCACTTTGACTAATGCAATTATATTGAAAGAATAATAATTTTCAGATCATGGGAAGATATTCTCTTAAGTTCCTTTTAAAAGGGTAATGCAAAAAGAAGTAAAAAAGCAGCTAATTTGGATCGTCCCCAATTTTTTATAACCTCCACCATTTTGATGGAACTTGAAAAATTTCAACAAGAAAATCCGTAGCAAAATACCTCTCAAACGAAATACCTTATATGGGGGCTATACGAAGACGTGTTCCTTCATAACTAATTTTTTTTGTGATAGGTTGTGGTACCTTTTACGAACTTCAATTACGAAATTTGAAACAATTCTGGTATATTATTTACCAAAAATCATCAAAATATCGAATATAGGGAGGTATCGATATACGGGGGATATACGAAAACGTGGACCTGCATACGCGATTTTTTATTATAGGTTGTAGTTCCCACTACGAACTTTAAATGCAAAATTTTAAACAATTCTGGTAAAAAAATATGGCTAAAATCATCAAAACCCCGAACATTGGGAGCTACCATTATATGGGGACTATACGTAAAAATGAACCTTCATGGACACTTTTTTGTCATACATTGTAGTAACCATTACGAACTTCAACTACGAAATTTGACACAATTAATAATCTCTCTACAATCATCAAAATACCGAATATCGGGAGGTATCGTTATATGGGGGCTATACGAAGACGTGGATCTGCATATGCCATTTTTTTTTGTCATAAGTTGTGGTACCTATACGAAATTCAAATACGAAATTTAAAATAATTCCGGTAAAATATATCTCTAATATCATCAGAATACTGAATATTAAGAGGTACCGTTGTATGGAGGCTATATGAAAACGTGGACCTATATGGTCCATTTACAAACTTAACCTGTCTTTTGGCAAAATTTGTTCTAAAGGCATCTTGATTATACCAGACAGACAGGCGGACATCTTTAAATCGACTTAGAATTTTACGCTGATAAAGAATATACAGGGTGAGATAAAAAAATTTAAAATTGTGGCGTTTGACTTTGTTGCAGTTTTTTATCTCACCCTGTATATACATTGTTGGGTCTGACATGAGTATTTCAAGGAGTTACAAACGGAATGACAATGTGAATATACCTTTCCTAGTGAGGTGGAGTGTATAACAAAAATTGGCGGACAAAGTAAACATAGTCTACGCCTTCGATAGGACTCCTGTGGCCTTATTGATATTTTACTTGGATGCAGTAAAGAAAAATATCCTGGGAAATTTTTTTTCGCTCGAAATTTGCGCGATATCGTGTGAGAGAATTTGGCTTTGAATTCACTTACGCCAACTTATTGCAGTTATTGTAAGAATTAACCAGGGACTAAGTTGATTGCAGAACCTTTTACTCCGTTATCTCCGGCCTGCTAGCAGTCAATATAAAGCCTTTAGAAGAACACCCAATTCAAAATCCCAAACATTTTTACAACTCCTATTTATACAACTATTAAAAATCATCAATCATTAATTGTTTTTGTTTCTTTTTTATTGCAGTTAATCAAGATGGTTTTGTTGTACGTACATATACTATAACGATTAGTTTTGCATTATTTTGTATGTGTATAAAAAACCATAGAATATACACAAAGAAAAATCTTAAAATTGAAAAAATACTTAAGAGTCTAATCAAGATATTTGTTATACACTAATAAATAAACGTAAAGTAAACCTATAATTTTTCATTCGGGACATGAATGCATACAACCTATACTGGATGTTGTTCAACTATTTGTCCATTATTATCGGTTATTTGCAATGTATATTCTGTACCATCTTGATCTTGGAATTTTGGCGTTAAGAGATTTTTAATGGTCTGCTGATGTGTTATGGTACTTAAATGCTGCTCCAATTGATGTTTGCGTGAAAAGGTCTTATTGCACGGTTTGCAACTAGGAAATAGGGAAAATATAAAATAAATGCATTAAAGTATATGTGGTTTTCATACTTACGGGAATGGCTTTTCTCCTGTATGTATTAGCATATGATTCTTCAAGACGTTCGAGTATGTGAATGATTTTCCACATGTCTGGCAGGTGAAAGGCCTCTCGTTTGTGTGGATTCTGTAAGGATTGAACAATGTGTAATTAATATTTTTGATATATGTCATAATGATTGTTTATATAATATAATTTTAATATACAATCCACATTGTGATTACCTTTCGTGTTTTATATTTGTACTTCTATCAGCAAAAGTCCTTCCACAGAAACGACAAACGTAGGGCTTTTCGCCTGTGTGTATTCGTATATGCCGACTTATTTCTGAGGGGCAGGTAAATTGTTTGCCACAAATTCTAAAATAAATTAATAAATATTATAAAACACAATGTTAAATAATGTCATTACTTACTCGCACTCAAACGGCTTTTCCGCCCGATGACGTCTCATATGCATGTTCAAGAGACTTCTCTTGGCATAGATATTACCACATACTTCACATATATTCGTTTCCGGCTCTGCTTCATTTTTCTTACGCCCACGCCCTCTACGAACTTTCTCTCCAGAAGCTTTGTTATCCGTAGATTCTTTGCTTTTCGGTTTCTTTTCCGGCTTTAAAACTTTCGCTTTTTTCTTTTTTGGTATGGGCACAAATTCATCATCATCTATTAGTTTATCGTTATCATTATCCGAATCACTATCATCCAAATGTTCTTCGCCATCAATTTCCTCTAGATCAACCTCTTCAATAGCCAGAAATTCGTCGTCACCATCATCACTGAAGGAGTCATGTTTAGTGTCCGGCAAATCATCAAAATCCACCTCTTGTCCTTCAATGAATTCTGAACGTATATCAAAAAATAATTCATCCTCCTCTTCGCTGGCTTTTGTTTTTGAAGTATTTGCTTGATTAGAACTGGAAGACTCTTGAGGTTCTGTTTTTAACTCCGACTGAAAAATTATCATATTTGAGTTGTGGAGGTGTACTTTTTTGTTGTTTTTTTTTTTTACGAACCTTAACTATTGCATCCAATAGGGCCTGTTCACTTGACTGACACATCAAGCGAAATTTATACGATGTATTTAAAAAGTCTAGGCACTGGAAACAAATCATTTTGGGAAACTCTTCATGATGTTTTAACTGCAAAGAAAAGGTTACAAAGATTTAGAAGTGGAAAACATTGTTACTTATGTCCACCTTACCACTATTCCTCCACATTCCTCAATGCGATGAACAATTTCGGCACAACGGACATTTTTCTCATCAAACAACGGTTGCATTCCGCTACGGCCCTTGTCCTCGGCTAGACATATGCGACACATTTTTTGGACTGGCATTTTATCGGCTGGCAAAAAGAAAAACAGTTACTTCTGCTTACTTTTTATCTTAACTAGACTAGAGAACACGCACAACAAACATTAGAGTTTGCCAGACACAAATTGTAAAGTTTGGGACACAATTTTGAAACCCCGTTTCCAATGCAAGTCCCACATTATATCAAACAATTTACTCGGGAATATGTCCTGTATAGTTTTTGTCACCAACACCCACAATTCTGACTGTCAACAAATGTTTGCTTCGTAATATTTTCAACTATTCATTACTTTATATTAAGTGTATTTGGAGTTCCGGACTACTTTCCACGTATATATTGCCAGGAAGGGCCACAATGGAATAATATTTGTATAATCTGCAGGTCCTGGGTTGATTTTCCAATTTTCCTTCAACCAAGCTAGAAACTGAATAGGGATTTGAAGATCGACTTGTGGCCAATTTATTCAGTAGACTTATTACAGTAAACGTCGGCTACACGTGCCTGTGAAAATAGTTGTTTTTATACTATACAATTGAGGGTATATTAATTTTTGCTTGGGAGAACCTAGAGTTAAGTGATAATAAATTATGAAGACAGTCAGTGTAGCTCTCTTGAAAAATTTTTAACAGCCGGCATTGTTTCAGTCATGAGTTTTAATAAATCTTCTTTGTTTGTCTTTGAAAAAACAAAATCAATTAAAAAGTTTTAGCTTTTATGATAAATAAAATCGGCAAACCTGTACACAAAATTTTTCCATGGTGAGGAAGGTGAATTTGTGGTATTGTACGTCGGACCTTTGATATGACCCTTATACGCACGCAAGCATTTTGGTAAAGGCCTTAAGCAAATCTATATTTTCCGATAGTCAATAATCGACCTGTATATCCCTACACAGAAACACACATTTTTGTTTTGGTTTTGATTTATTTAACGTTAGTACGAGGAAAAAGTTGGGAAAACTCTAAAATGTTGAATAAACTACAGTTTAATAATATGGTAAGCTGAATGCATTTCATTTAAGTGTTATTAAATTTAAAGCGTTATTTCTCCTTTTAAAGGTAATATCCAACAAAAAGGGTATACAACAGGCCCGATTACAGACTATCAACAAACTCGTGCACAAAATACGAAAATTAAAGACCCTGTTGGAAAAACGGCCGGATGATGGCAAGTGCAAAGAAAGAATCCGAAAATCGACAGAGACAATGGAACACTTGAAGGTATATCTTACGACTATAAAGAAACTTGATATTGTTAAAATCGTTCCTATTTTTTATAGAAACTCAAACGTGTTGAAATTATGAAAGGGGTCTTATTGTTGGAGAAACCCCCTGCAGCTGTGATAACGAATGGTTCGTCAACACCCGAGGAAATGGCCGGAGCATTGCTTTCAATGAACAAAGTTATGCAGGGCTTAATAAAACGCTTTAAATTAGAGCTAAAACTTGAGGACAACGAAAGCGCCAAATGGAGAGAAGAACTTAGGGAAAATAGTAAGAGGCGGCAAAAAATAGAAAGAACGGAGGAAAAGAAACGCAAACGGCAAGCAATGAAGGAGCAAAAAGCAATGGCTCGTAAACGAAACGAATGGTTAGAACAAAATTGTCCGAATGGCGGTAGCGAGGAGGCACCTAAAGATGACTCTATATCCACTGTACCTGGCTGGAAAGTAGAAGAAGTGGAAGAAGAAAAGCTGCCAAAGGAAATTGTCGAAAGTAAACCAATTTTAGCAATTGAAAAGCCAAAAATCAAAAGAACAAAGCCGGTAAAAGATGAAAAACCGATAAGAAACGATGTCCCCATAAAGAAATCCAAACCAGAGGTAAAACCAACGCTTAGGGAACCACAAGAAAATCCAACACCGAAATATGAATCAGACGAAGAAAGTCAACCGGAAAGTTTCAAACCCGGCGACGATGATAATGCAGAATCAGAAACTGAAGAAACGACACATGTTGTTGATCCATTCTTTGTTACAGAAACTGGAGAAAATTATCTTTCCACGGCAGTTGTGAGTAAATCTCAAGTGGAAGAAACCTACAAGGAGGAAGAAAAGGATAGGCATCTTATACAATTGAATGGCTCGAAAAAATATACAGATTTCCGTGACAATCGAAAACAGCAAAGGCGTGAAGATAGTTTCCCGCAGAAAGACAAATGGCAAGACAAAAAATACCCCCAACAATCAAATAGATTCGAACGTAGAAGGCAAGATCAACAGCAACGGGGTGAAAATAAATTCCCCCAGAGAAACAAGTGGAACGATGATAAACACTCGCAAAAACCTAACCGATTTGGAAATGATAATAGGAGGCAAGGCCATCAGCGCTTCGATGACAAACCAAAAGACGACTTTAAGAACAACATTGATGCTGGGGAGAAACTGCATCCATCTTGGGCGGCCAAACAAAAGCTCAAACCTATAATAACGGGTTTCCAGGGCAAGAAAATTGTATTCGGTGACGGGGAAGGTGAAAAAGAAGATAAAGGCAATGTTAGGTCATTAAATGTAAATAAATCTGCCAAAGAAACTAAACCGCAAAATGTAAGCGGTGAAAATTTACATCCTTCTTGGGCAGCAAAACAGAAACAAAAACCCGTTATAACTGCTTTCCAAGGTAAAAAAATCAGCTTTGACAACGATGACTAAAATAATAAACAGGACGTGACTTTTAAAAAACACAACAAATTTGTATTATTTTGGAATCTATACATTGGGTACATAATGACCACGGATTTTATCCGACTCCATCAATTTATCTATATTCACATTGGGGAATTTACGTCTGAGGAAATCAACATCCATGTTAGGGTTGCGGCGTAGCAACATCATGACTTCATTGCGAGAGCGACTGCAAGAAAAATAATAGGTTTTTATGTTGTTTGCATCTATTTCCAAATTTAACTTACTTCTTGGCCTTTCGCTTTTCATTGTAAAGTTTTTCGCGATATTTCAACAAGAATTTGCGCACAGCACGTCCTCCGTAGCCAATGGAGCGGGTCTTAATCCATCTGACGTTCATAAATGGCGGCAGGACATGCTCAACAGATCTGAAAATTAAAAGAATAATGTTTTTTTTTAATAAATATTTTCCGTAGAGTGTCGACTGGTAGCTCTTTCTAATGCGTCCAAGACATATATTCCTATTGTTCGACACAGTCAGTATCATGTTGAAAATTATTAAAACTTTAATAGGAATGTATACACTTTATATTGAACTGCATTCTATCACCATACTCACTTGTACATGTAGCGAATACCCAGATTGTTAGCCACCAAACGTTGAGGACGTTCACCAGTCTCACCCGTCTCCAACAAATGATAGGCCTTATTACGTTCTCTCACAACTGTTTCCAAATTCTCCATCGATATTTTCACTTTATCCAAACGCTCTGGACTGGGAAACAGTTCCATCTTCTCATTGCATTCGTGTTCCATGGTCAGCAGCATGTTACGTTCCTTTAGTAAAACATACCACAACTGATGCAATTCTTTGTTAGACTTTATACGTAGTTCATCTAGCTTCCAGGCACGACCAACTTTAACCTCATTTTCAGGCCAGTTTTTAGGATCGTCAAAAAATTGCATCAAATCACATTTTGTTTGGTTCGTTGAGAAATTTCGACCAGTGATTGCCGAAGCACTGGCACATAGTTGAGGTTGTACGTGTTGTTGAAACCTTTAAATATAAAACAGAAAGTTACATAGAAAACGATGTCCAATCAAGAAAAAAAACAGTTGCCGGAATATACCTCAACAGTGATCCAAAGTTTCTTGTTGTGCTCTGTATGGACAAATTACCCAAGGCCGCACAGCAGACTTTTATGCTTTGGGACACATTGACTAATTTTGTGAATCCTGCCATTGTTTTCAACAAGTTTAATTCATTTATTTTATAAACTTTTCCGCAATCGACCAAACAAAAATTTCTATCACATTACACAATGCGTGCTGTGTCCCCTCTTGAAATCCGTCTTCTACATGTATTCGCACCAGTGCCCCTCTTGAATTCCGCCTTTCAATCATATCCGCAATAGGGAAATGTAAACAAACACATATGTATTACAGCCCAGATATCTATAGATCGATTTATATCCAATCAAAACGTAATTTAAAACATGTTCACACATGACATTTTAAATGCACTATTGCAGGATTTGTTAAATAAATATATCTTCTGTTCCAGAACATGGTAGAAGAATACTGTTACACTGCCTTTACACGGTGGAATTTTTAGCTGGCATTTTTATCAATTCTCTTTTAAAATTTCTGCGTAAATCTTCGCGCCTTTACACGGCATTTTACGATAATAGTGCTTGGCATTTTTTCTGACATTTTATTTTATTCAGTATTTCGTATAGAGCTAATTGTTTGTAACAGATATTTATAAAGAAGTGATTTTAAATTAAATGTGTGAATCTAAAGAAGAAATGATGAAAAAAGTTATTGAGGAGTTAAATATAGCATTATTAACTTTTATTTTAACTTTCTTTTTTTACTTTTTAATACTTCCAAATAATTTTCATATAATTCACTATACAATTCAATCACTAAAAACATCACATCACAATAAAAGAAACTCATCAAAAATTACAATAAAGAAACGATATGAAATGTCAAAATCATAAAAAATTCAGAAGAAGCAAAAAGAGAAATGCAAAGAAAATGGCATGTAACCCTGTGCGGTGGCTTATCGTGCCATTTTTTCTTCTATCCTTGTCTCTCTACACCTTTTACCAACAAAAAAAAATGGCATGGTTAAAAAATGTCACCGTGTAAAGGCAGTGTTAGATCATGAAAACAGAAAACATCTACAAAGCATAGTTTTATAAGGATGACGTAAAAGTCAAAAATATTCCTCAGAAAATTTCACTATAAGTTACTAAAGGAAGGAAAATCTTTTTCCATTATAAATCCAAAAAATATTGCCATCGATGTTGGCAGAAAAACTTGAAAGTATTTCCCAATATTTCGATAATTACACCCTACAACACTATATAAACAGGTCGTGTAAATCACAATAAAAAAACACAATTGAGATCGACAATCCTTCATAATATCACAATGTCAAACACGGGTAAAGTCGCTTTAGAAGCACAACTCAACCACAATAACAACCAACTCATCTGACCTTAACAAGGACCTTGGTATTGGGGGTAATGGACACATTAGTTGAACAGGAATTTGCAAAAAAAAAAAAAAAAAAAAAAACACTCACTGTTTTTTAGTAAGTAATGCTAATTCACTTATTTTCAAAAATTTTTTGACAAGTTACTCTCCAACCGAATTTAAAAAAAGATAAATATATGTAAATATCAACATTTATACAAAAAGTTCAAAACATAAATGACAGCCCTAAAAGCACAATAAGACAAAGTCTTAAATCATTCATGAATGAAAATTGTTAAATGAAAGATAAAATAAATCTTGGGAGAAAAAAACAATAATTTCTTCTATTATTAATGCTAATTTAATATACTTTCGCACAAATTCCTATACAAATCAACAAACAAAAAATTTGAAAAAAGGAAAAAAGGATGTTACTACGAATTACGAATCGTGCCGTATGAACGGGCACTGAGAACATAGCATAAGCTGAACAATCGACTATGAATAGTCGAGTACTCGGTTTTCATCCAAGTCCACAGTCGAGTACTCAAATCGATTATTCAATTAATCGGAAGTCGATTTACCTATCCCTCGATTTTCGTGTGTATACGTGATTTGTAGTTTGTTCTTCACCGCGTTCATTACGGCCCAGGAGGATTTGTCGGCGATTTTGCAAAAAACAAACTAGTTCAATTTAATAGCATCCTAAGAAATATTTGCATCGAGCAGCAGAATATTGCTGGTCACAAAGCGGAGAATTTTTTAATTGAATAAATAAGTTGAAAGGTAAGAAATTGCAAACAATTTTTGCCGGATAAAAATGAAGACGCCATTTTTATTTTCGCCAATGACGCCGACTGACGCTGTGCAGAAAGAAAATATTTGATGAGTATATAGTTTTGCAAATATTAAAGATTATTTTTCAATTTGTTTAGCGCTTCAACATTTCGGACGATATGGAAAACAACGCCGGTCTTGAGAACCGTGAAAAAGACCGCGAGCGTCGTGGTCGGGCACGTGGAACACGCTTCTCCGATGCAGATACATCCTCTGCCGCCGGTGCTGGAAATCGCGACCGTAGCCGTGAGCAGCGACGTAATTGTCGTATTTACATTTCGAATATACCCTACGATTACCGTTGGCAAGATCTCAAAGATCTGTTCAGACGTGTTGTGGGTTCGGTGGAATATGTTGAGCTGTTCCATGACGAAAATGGCAAGGCCCGCGGATGCGGCATTGTGGAATTCAAAGATCCCGATAATGTACAAAAGGCATTGGAGAAAATGAATCGCTATGAGGTGAATGGCCGCGAGTTGGTTGTCAAGGAAGATCACGGCGAACAACGTGATCAATGTGGACGCATAATTCGTGATGGTGGCGGCGGCGGCGGTGGTGGTATGGGTGGAGGACGCGGTGGTGGCGGCGGCAATGATGGAGGTTATGGTGGTAGACGCGATGACGATCGATCGTAAGTATATTCAAAAAAAATCCCTTAATAACTAAAGCTCATATAATAGTTATAAAAAACTACTTTTGGTGGATTGCGCAGAAAACAAAAAATCCAGTTTTCCTCTATTTTTCGTTTGTCCAAATGCTAAAATTTTTGAAGGCTGTAGATTTTGAAAAAAATATTCTTTAGTTTTGTTTGAAATTTAATGGGCTGTGTCCTTTTGTGATCAAAATTTGTGTTTTCGCCACAGGTAAATTAAAAGTACAGTAGAGTTTCTTGTTACCTGGGATTAATTTCGAAAATAACATAGGTAAGCCTTCGCTAGAGTGAGAAGGGGCTACATACGGGAATGTGTACAAGTTTTACAATTTTATATTTATTTGAATATTCCAACAACCCCGGGGAATTAATTGCATAAATGAAGCATATTTTCCTGATCAAGCTGAAGATGGAAAACTATTTGTCTAATAAATATTCCACATTTGATTATAAAAATTACGGGAAGTGAATTGTTCTAAAATTAAAACTTGGCAAAAGGCGTTAAAATCGATACTAATCTTAGATGTTGTGCAGAAAATTAGGCAGTTCATGCTTTAGCGATTATATATTTTTTGTTATTGTTTGGACAAGGAATTTATATAAATTATTTTAGAATATACCTCCTAGTCTGCTGGCTTTATTTGAATCTATTGTTAACCGTAACTTCCCACTTAAATTGTGCCAGTGCTGAAATTTTGCATACTGGGTTTCGTTTGCTTCTCCAAGTTCTAGACATTTTGGACTGATTGATTAACATCACTTGATTTTTTATGGCTACAATGGAAATTGTTAAAGCTTACTATCCAACGTTTATGCCTTTGAATAGTATTAAAAATGACAAATCTGGAATCATTAGAAGGGGTTTTTAAAATTCGTTGTTATCGATTTTATTTTTTTCTGAGGACTGTGTAGCTATATCGAATTTGAAAAAGGAAATATCTTAATGGATTTGATCTTCAGAAATAGTGTTTGCATATGTATTTTTTATACTTTCTTAAAATTTGAACTAACGTAACAAACTTCTAGTAGTTATATTGAAATAATTTATACATAATAATAATTATTATTAAATTGTATATAAACAAACTTGAGTAAGGTAATATACGTAAAGTGAACTCTCAGTTGTAACTTCAAAGCAATATCATCCCTCCTATTAGCATTTGTTGAAAACAATAATATTAGACTTACCTATAGCTTGTTTTTTGTGGAAAACAAGCAAATCAAACAGAAGCAACATTTGCAGCTGATGTGGATTGTTGTGTGCACCACCAACAACATCTATACATTTTCTTTCAGCTCTTTGTCTGATTTATTTTGATGATGATTGATGACGAATCCTCTCTTTCACTCTCCTAAATTCAGCTTGTTGTTGTTGTTGCTCTCGTTCTTGAAAACGTGTTCTTATTCGTCTACTGTTGTTGTTGATATCTTCCCTTTTAGATCTGGTCGTAATAATTATAACATGATGTCTAATGATTTTGTAAACCCACCAGCGAATTATAATTATTATGGGCTTTCAGCGTCGTTTTTGGAGAATCTTGGCATAACTGGACCTTTGCATAATAAAGTTTTCGTTGCTAATGTGAGTATTGTTTATAAAAAACTGATTTTCTTTTTAAGACCTACAACCCTAAAAGTAAAGAAATTAAAAAAATGTAAGTGTTCGTTGTTGCGTTTGTAAGGTTCGACGATTTACTTTGCATTTTCGTAGCGTAATCGGGAATGATATAATTTTACAAATGGTTTTTCGATTCTTTCTAAAAATGATGAAGGACAAATTGCATGACATTATGTTTCTCTAGGCGGAACTTGCGCTGTACAACTCCTCATACCAGCCATTAAATTATAAGTCCTGAACGTTTCTATTTTACTTTGGGTGGTGTTCACCAAAAGGGTTTTTTTTAATCAAAAGAAGAAGATCTTGCGCCGCTCTCCGTTTGTTACCAGCCCTGAATTGATGGCTATATTTTGTCAGATTATTTTTGATTTTATAAATGATTAATTTCAATAGGGATGGCTGTTCTGCGCTGTGCCTTGCTGTATATTTTCAATAGATTTAAAAAAAATATGGGCCATTTTAAAATTTCCAGTTGAAATTAAATTTCCCTTTTTTCTGTTTTTATTATTTGTTTATCATTGGCTTCTCGACGAGTCTCTAAGATCTGTTGCAGCTTTCAAATGAACGCCTATAGAGCCATATAAATTGGACAAGTTTCATCCAATTTACTTAATCTTACTAACATCTTTATATTTCGATCCGCCGTAGACAAGTTGCTCTCTGAATGAAAACAGACAGTCTCAATTTGTTTCATTTCAATCGAACGAACCACATTCACTAATATCATGGTAATGCAGTTCCGGACATTAATTTTATCTAGCTTGCGCTCTAAATGAAAGCAGGGCGTTTGATGGATTCTCAAACTATTCGTTCTTTTTTTTTAATCTTTCAACATTTGATTTCCACGTAATGTTTTGCGGCTAAACTAAGTTTCCTAAAATCCAATGTAATGAATAAATTTAGTAACGTCGGCTGGCCTGTGGCTGCAAGGGGTTATTTGTGAAAGCCATGCTTTTTCGAGTTTCATTTACTAATTCCTTTTCGTTTTTTCTTCTATTCCCTTGCTGTTGTGATTCCATTTTTTGTAGCTTGACTATAAAGTGGATACGAAAAAGCTTAAACAAGTTTTTAAATTGGCCGGCAAGGTACAGAGTGTTGACCTATCTGTAGACAAGGATGGAAACAGCCGCGGTTTTGCCGTTATTGAATATGATCATCCTGTAGAAGCTGTGCAGGCCATATCCATGTTGGATCGTCAAATGTTGTATGATCGACGCATGACCGTGCGTTTGGATCGTATTCCTGACAAGGGTGAAAGCATTAAATTGCCCGAAGGTTTGGGAGGTGTTGGCATCGGTTTGGGACCCAATGGTGAACCATTGAAGGATGTTGCCCGTAACTTGCCCAATTCCAATCAAAATTGCAATTCATCCCAACAAATGGGTGGTGTAAACAATGGCAACATGGGTGGTGGCATGAATGTCGGTGGCGGCGGCGGTATGGGAGGTAATGGCGGCGGCATGGGCATGAATGCTGGACCCAATGTTGGCGGTATGTTTGGCAACAATGGAGGTGTGCAACAGCCGGCACCCGTTGCCCCAGTTGGCAACAAGGCCCAAGGAAATTTACCCTTAAATGCCAATTCCGGTCTTAATTTGGCAGCTCTAACCAATGTGGTTGGTGGTTTGGGTGCCGCTCTCTCAAATCCTCTATTAACAACTTCCCTGAATAATTTGGGCATTAACTTGGGCCAAGGACAAGGTGGTGGCAATGATGATGCCCTCGCAGCCGGAAATGCAGGTCTGTCGAACAACTACAGTACAGGAGGTAACAACTACAGTTCTGGCTTTGGCAACTCATCGGGTTTTAATGCACCGGCCGGAAACTCTGTTGGCGGAGGAGGTGGCTTTAATTCGTACAACAGTGCCAGTGGAGGTGGTAATGCTGGTCCAGCCTTAGATGGTGACTATGGCTCGGGTAACGCCCTTGATATGTATGGTTCTGGAGCAGGTGGCAATGCCGGCAACAATGCAGGAAATGTGCGCAAATCAGATACAATTATTATTAAAAATGTAAGTTTTTTCAGCAATTCACAACCAATTTACAACAATTTAATTGTTTTATGTTTCCATTTTCTAGATACCCTTGAGCTGTACTTGGCAAACACTGCGAGACAAATTCAGGGATGTTGGCGAGGTAAAATTCGCTGAAATTCGGGGCAACGATTTGGGTGTTGTGCGTTTCTTTAAGGAGAGAGATGCTGAACTTGCCATAGGTATGTTGTTAAACTAAATTACGCTTTTCTAAAATATCTCAAAATATTTTGTTTGTCTTTTGCAGCGCTTATGGATGGTTCTCGCATGGATGGACGTACTATTAAAGTAACATATTTCTAAAATTAGTCCACTCCCACCTGCCACGGCTTCATTTACAAAAACAAAACAAAAAATTAGATGAAGTGTTCCACTGAACCTGGACTTGTATTGACACTTCCCTTAAATTTTAATACAAACAGATATATAGTATATAATCTAAACTTATTTACCATATATGTATGATGATTTCTAACATTTAGACATTTATTTTAAGTTGAAACACTTGTGTATTTTTAACCAGACATTCATTTTAAATTAGAAGAACCAACCAGCAGCATAAAACAGACATCACTTTTGTCAAGTGATGTTGTTTTATGTAAAAAAATAAAAAAGAATTAAAAAAAGAAACAAACGGCATTGGGGGAAAATCTCAATTTTCATCCCTCCCTGTTTTACAACCAAATGATATCGTCGTCGTTGTCCCAACAACAGTGTAGTTTTAAAAAAAATAAAAAAAACTCTCCATACGTAGTGTTTGAACCGACGACCATGGAATTAATGTATTCTCAATAAAATAACAATTTTAAGAATATAAATGAAACTTTTAGAAAGCTATGAGTTTTTATTTGGCATATTTTTTTGTGCTTGGTTACCTTGAGGTAAACATTTATCTAAATTGGTATTTTTATACCCTCCACCATACATAGCATGGAGATTACATTAAGTTTGTCATTCCGTTTGTAACTAATCGAAATAATGTTTTTAGATCCATTAAAGGATATATATATATATATATTCCTGATCAGCGTAAAATTCATATCCGATTAGCCATGTCCGTCCCTCTTTTGTAATCACTCTTTCTTCCGAGGGAATTGAGATAGTTTCGAAATTTGGTACTCATGCGTTTTGGGTCTGAACTTAGATAAAGTTTGAAAATGGGTTATATTGACCAACTTTTTCGTATAGCGCTCACATAACGTCGCTTTTCCGTACCTTTTTCCTCGGAATTTTCTGGAATTTGGTGTTTAAAAGTTGTTCTGTGTTCCTGACCCCCTTCAGAAAACTGTTAATATAGGTCCACATTCGAATGCGAGAATTGTCTAATATTTTGTGTTTGAAATTTCTGTGTCGAAATCCCTTACAAAAATTTTTTGATTTAGGTCCTCATTTTAACTTTCTATATACACTCAAAAGTTTTGAAAATTGAATATATCGTTTTAAGTACAGCCCCCATGCAACGGTCCTTCTGTAGCCAGATTTTCTTATTTTATAACGAAAAAATTTCGATCGGACACACAACACAATGGGTGAGCGGGTATCCGAGTGGAGCGGTTCCCCTAAATCCAGCATAACCTAAGTCCCAGATTTGTTTATAAAAAAACTTTGAACGAAATGTGTTACACATCGAATGCAAGAATTGGATTGGTTGAAAAAGTAAAAAAGTTCTAAAACTCGAAAAATCAATAGGTACCACATAACGTAACATCCAAAACTTGCTCTATTATTAAAATTATTTATCTGCTTTGTTAGATCTCTGAATTTATTATAGAGATTGTTAGAAGTCCTCCTCGAAATATTGGAAGAGCTTATTTTAAAAATGCTGAAAGCTAACCATAGCTACTACGCGTTTTGGGAAAAAGTGTACCGTTTTTGTACCGATACTTTATATAAAAAAATTACCTATAACCAGTTTTCTTTTTATTGAACGTTTCCGTACAATAAAAATATAACGTATTCCAAACCCACCTCTTTAAGACAAACCTCAACATTAGAATGTTATTAAACTCTCATATAATGAAAAAATGTCTCAATTTAGGCCAATTTTGGTGTACAAGAATATTTCGTGTAGATTTAAGGCACATATTTCTGTATCAATAGGTTTGGATTCGCTTCTATTAATACAAAGATATGTCTGACCCTAAAAAGATACAAACGAAAAATTTTCTCCTTATCAATATAGTAATAAATTACGCTACAAATTCGTTCATATGAAATTTTGTATTGATTTTTTATTGCTATATGTTGTATGGTGGTATGTTATTTGAATTTTATAGAAATGTTAATAAAACATGTTTTTTTTTGCATTTTAGTTAGTGATGTTAAGAATATTTTGTTGTTCATTATATATCTTATGGACTTAACCAAATGAATTTGTTTACGTTTGCAAAACTTACTGAAGAGAGGTGAGAATTTTTTTCACAAATAACTCTTAAAGTAGAAAAAATAAGAGAATACATGATTAGTTGCTAGCAGCTGTTGCAACTGGATTTGTGGTCGTCGCAGTTGCAGCTGCAGCCGGTGTGGTTGACGACGTGGACGTTGTTGTTGCTGAAGCACCGCCAAAACGCTCCAAACGTTTTCGTGCCTTTTCTGCCCACTCGCTGGAATCAGCTGGCGTGGAGTTTGTTGTGTTGTTATCTTTAGCTGTTACTTCACCTCCAAACCGTTGTAGCCGTTTGAGTCTTCTTTCTTCAGCATCCAGTTTTGCCAAATTGGTGGATGTAACACAACCAAAACGTTCCGCGCGTTTTTTCAATAGCTCCACTTGTTTTTCGCTACTAACAACGGGAGCCTGTGAAATGGCCTTATTTGCGGAGACGGAGTTTGTGGCAGTTGCCGCTGCAGTAGTATTCAGACCAAATTTCTTCGCTCTTAATTCCAAACGTTCTTGCAATGTCATTTCCGAAAACTTTTTCGCTGCACCAGTCCCGGATGCTGCTGCGTTCCCAGTGCTTCCAACTGTGATGGGCGTGTGCTCACTAACTTTTGCAGATTTTGGTTGGGTGGGTTCGGTATTCTCTTTGGTTGTATTTGAAGATTCATTGGTCGCACCACTGTTCACTGATATCTTTCGTTTCAATACTACTTTTTTCGCTGTCGTGGTTGGAGATTCTAATATCTCGTCCTCCGTTAGAATAGCATCATTATTGTCTGATGCACCCTTTGAGGGCAAAATTGTGGTAGGTGTAGTTGTTGGGCTCTTGAGAAGTTCATTCTCATCGCCTGCCAGAATTTTTTCCTCATCAGATAATACAGCCTCTTCATCCAAGATGTCCTCACCGGCAATAGATGAGTCTTCTAGCAATGGCTCGCCATCCAGAGCAGCTTGTAAGCGTTCTTGCAATTCGGTTTTGTTTCCAGCAACGGAGAGACCTCTATCTTTCAGCTCACGTTTCAAATCCGCTACCTTTAATAACAATGAAATAGTTTATTATATGATTAGATATATTTGTGTATGTATTTTAGTGCTCTTTCTGATTACAAGTGTTCTGTTTAGTGCACTTTCATGACCATCTAGCGTTCTGTAACCACATGAAAAGTGCAATTAAACTTTCTTACCTTCAGATTAGCAACATCGATGACGGGCATGTTGAGTAAATTGTATATTTTATTATATTTTTTAAGCTAAAAATAAATTGTCTTGATTGTTGTCGCTTTTCGTCGTAAACTAATTCATTGAGAAAACATGGCGAAATACAACCCTGGGTAGGAAAATGCCGCATTGCAACTAAATGACGGCGTAAATTATATTATGCTATAGTTGTACGTTCAATAAAACGTAAGGTAGAAGCGTTTTATTTTTTCTCCAATATTTTTTCATATTCATATTTTTTCCAATATATTGTCATTTTATTACTTCTATGTATGTCAAATTTTGTTGTTTGTTATTCTTCTCAATTATTTACAAAATATACAACAAAAATGCTTATTACAACATGAATGTGGACGATATTTAACCATTTTAAGAAATATCAAAAAGTGTAAATAGAAAATGATTTTAAAATTAAATCATGAATTTATATTCAGTTTTCACGTGTCTTCGTATTTCTTATTTTGTAACATCTTCACCATATATTACTTAAACAAAATAAAATAATTATTCTAGGCAAATTTGGCCGTGTAAAAAAGTAGAATTGTTGCCAGCTTCTTATTGGCTGACATGTTGATTTTCAAGAATTGGTGTCCAATATTGAACTGTTTAGTTCTGTTTTCGTACTTTTTCAAGTTACTACCTTTCTACTTGAGCCATGGTAGCATGGTACAAGTCAGACACCATATGTATACATTTTGACAATGACAAATGTTGTCAATAAAGGTTACCTTGTTAATTCTACCATCGGAAAACTTCTGATTTGTTAATATAGTTGTGTTCCAGTACTTTTTTAGTAGTAAAACTAGCAGAAGAGAGAACAGTTCGAAATGTCATTCTCATTTAGGTTTGCTCAAAAAATAAGGGAACGGAAATTAGCAGAAATGCGACAAAATGTCAAAATTCTAAATTCCAAAAGTAAACAGCCTAAATCGGACTGGTGAAACCATACTGAAAAGAGCGCCAACATTTAAAAAATGAATATTGAAGACGATAAGTTAAAATTAATAATTTATAATAATAATTAATAATCTGATTCCTCATTCAGCCAGTCCTCTTCACTGCTGGAATCATCCAAAAGTGAATACATCAGTTGCCCCATGTTTTCTCTTTTTGTTTTTTGCACGACAAATGTTAGTTTTTCCTTTAGTTTTCAAGTTGATCATTTTCTTTATTGAAATGTATCAATACATTTTTCAACCTTGTTAGCCCTGCCAATTAAATGTCAAATTTACAATATGCACATTTCTGCTCGGCCAGAATTCATGTAGCTAAAACAAGCAGAAATGTGCACCACTCAGCGCCATTTTTTTCTCGAGAGAGCTGCAAGTTTTGGTAGTTTTTGGAGTATGGGAACGCGTTGTAGCAGAATTAGTGCTAATTAGTACTAATTTGCAGGTTCTGGAACACAACTTATATTAGTTTTACTGTTCTCGCACTTTCTGGTTAAATTAGTAATCTTAAGGCTCTATTAGACCATATGTTTTTACATATGTAGTGTCAAATTTGTCATATGTTGCAGAAGTTGCACACATCGTGTGATACATGGACGACATTCTATGTGTAAAATACATGAGTAAAGTACATATGTACTTTTTTGATCATCATCCATCGGAAAAATAATATTTAAAGTTGTTTGTTGTGTGAAAATGTATAAAATTAAATTTTCGGTAAAATATTATCCATAAAGTATTATAGTTATTTTTTTAGAAAATGTAATAACAATAAGAAGAACGCAAAAATTATGAGTCATATGTAAAATGGCTATTTTGATGTACACACTGAGATACATATGTATATGAAAAGTGGCAGCACATATGTAAATCCCATTCCGTCTTATAATACTATTACAGTGACTCTGACAACTCACTCTATTTCCAGTTTTACCATTAAAGTGCACAGCAAATGTGTCATCTTTGAGTTATTTTCTAAACACAAAGTAAAAAAAAAAACAAAATGTGCGAATATAAATTAAAAATATTTCTCTTTACTCTCTTAAAACTCTCTTCTAGTTTCGCTCTTAGTTGATGTTTTTCCATTGCAGTGTATTTGTAACAATAATGTACAATGACTTACACCACTACCATGGCTTTAAGCCAGGTTAAGAATTTCTGAAAACCAACCACACAACATCAAGTGATGTTGTGGGCCAAAAAAGAGCGCACCTGTGGCTTATGTATTCAGTCTTGGTAGGAGAGCTAAAGAGTTAACAACTTAAAGCCGGGTTATTTCGTTATAAAGCGGGTAGATGCGGTATGAAACGCTAACAAGAAATGTATAACAACAAACTAAAAACATATCAATAAAGTGTGGAGTAAAAGCAAAACAATTAAAGCAGAGTTTTAGATAAAAAAAAAATTGTTGTGTTGATTGAAAAACCAAAGAGCTGTAGGAAACTAAACGACGAATTGTAAAAATAGAAAGATAAAAAAAAAAAAAACAAGGAAGAAAAATAGTGGTATATTAATTTGATTTTTTTTTTTTAAGAAAAAGATAAACCTAAAAGAGACTTTCACTACGGTTTAAAGATCAAGAAATACAAAATTAGTTATTACAAAAAAAAAAAAGAAATGAGAAAAATTGTTGGAAGCAAGTTTCTGTGCTAGCTAGTTTCAACCTGCAGAGTTTTAACAAAGTAATGTGGAGGTGAATGAATTATTCACAAATTCTCACACAATGTACGTACGCTGGTGTTGATTGTAAGATGGGACCAAACAAAAGAAACCCCAACTAAATCTCTGGGATTTTTGCATACAAAAAGCGACGACATGAAACTTCTGTGGTGGGTGACTATGACGAAACAGGCAAAAAGAAACAGCAAAGCAAGCCGCCTCAATACATTATAATTTAGTTATTTGAGGATGCAAACAAATTAATTAAAACCTATTTAATGACATGAAACCCAACGACAATTTCAAAGAGAAAAAATATACTAAAATATTGTATAATATTACAAACCAAATGTGATAGCTACATGTGTATGATGATGGTCATACCTACATACTCACATAGATAGAAAACCAAAGAAACTAGTAAGATTTGCCGTCACCTAATGGATCACTGTGACACCACTACAACACAAAAGAAAACAAAGCCATGGTAACAAAGATTTTTTTTGATACGGACAAGCGAGCTAGCAGGCAGGCAGGCATTAACCACCAAGATCACTCTTGACAGCAGCGACATTAGCTGCTGCCGCGGCTCTAGCACACGACGTCTCTCACCTGTTGCTATATCTTCTGCACCACCATCATCGCTCGCAATCGAACAGAGCAGAGGAGAGTACAAAGCCACGATACCGTTAGAAGTACCCATTTATGTATGTTGTATATGCGATTTGAAATATGAGAAATTTATTCATAATTGCCTTAAGTAGGAGCTTGGAGTTAGAGTAGCATATGTATTGCATGAGTAGTCATCCCAAACATCCAACCGACTGCGCGATCCAACCGAGGATTTGGGAATTGTTCGACTAACATATGTAACAAATCTCTGACGTGAGGAAATTGAGATAATGAAGACCACTAATATGAGCGTAACAATCCTAACAAATAACGACAATAGCTTTGAAACACAAACACACTGACAACAATCAAAAACAGATCGGCGCTTTGCTGCAGCTGTTTTAATCAGCAAAATGTAACAAAACACAATGAATGAGTGCACTAACCACGAAACGAATCAACCAACCATCTTTATGATCACTTTAGCAATTGTTATGTTAACTGCATAGGCGTAGGTGGAGTTTTTTCTAAGAGGGGTAAATTTGTGGTGGTATTACATTTATTTGCTAAATCGAATATAACAACTTTTTCCCAACGAATTTGACCTTGTCATTTTTCTAATGAAAATTATTTTATACCTAAAATATTGAAGTATGTCGGGTGGCATATTTTTCAAAAATAATATATAGGCCGGTTCATGGTAGAAGAATTCAGGTAGATGCATCAACGCTTAGGAACATTGATATGTCAAAAATTTTTAAATTTCTTTTCAAAAATAATAGATTTTTATATGTTTTCTTATACGACGTCTTTCAAAATGACAAATAAATCGTTTTTCAAATCTTTATTACAAGTTTCATTTGAATATGAACTATCCGATAAGCAAAAATTCAGACCAGCTTCCCTTTATCCATGATAGAATCAAAATGGCAAAGTCATATTTTTACAATCATATATTTACAATTTTTTTCAAAAATTATTCATTTGACAACATCTCATTGTCAAAATTTGAATTTTTAAATCCATTGTACACAAATCAGAGGTGGGAACCTGTTTTTATGTAGTAAAATGTGACAAGGTAAATACAGAAAATGCAGAGATGGGAATGCTTCTTTTGAAATGACTTTACCTTCATAATTTTACCATGCACTTATCTTTTAACGTAAAGTTTATTGAATTCATGTTGCGATATTTTATATTGATAATATGGCACTAACAGTATTCAATGTATTCAAATTAAAAATGGATAACGCAAGAAAAGAAGACACACACATAAGCAAATGAAGTTGACATATTAAGCCAGGAAAATAAAAAATTGAAATCATATGGTAGTTCTTCCCTACCTTGAATTCATCGTACCATGGTGACTACAACATACATTCAAAAAAAAAAACTTGTCATATTTCTGAAAAAAATGCATTTATTTTAAAGAAAACAAAACCGGACTATAAAGAAAATATGGCAACATGAATTCAGTAAAATTTACATTAAAAGATGAAGAGAAGATGGTCTGACCCATGGTAGAAGAATATAGGTAGATGCATCAACGCTTGCGAACATTGATATGTCAAAATTTTAAAATTGTTTTGTCAAAAATAAGTACATTTTTATATATTTTCTTATACGATGCAAATCGGAGGATGTTACAATATGCATTTCTCAACAATTTTTACAAATTTTAAAAATTTTTCATTCAACATTTTCAATTCCAAAATCGGTTTGATAGTTCATTGTCCCAGCAGCTGTGTCGAAGCGACTACCTATATTCTTCTGTCATGAGGGAGTTTCCATCCACAAAATGTTAACCCAGTGGGCTAATCTTCAATAGTATAAATGCGCTATAAACCATGTTTACATTCATGCCGTAGACATTTCTTAGCCGATCATTCACTAATCAAAATTGAATAGTTTATCATGACAAAAAAAAAAAAAAAAAAAACGTGAAAAAACTTGCACCAAATATGTTTAAATGAAAAGCGTCATTTAAATTCCATTGCATATACAAAAAAAATGTATTTTTTGTAAAACGATTTAAAGCGATATTTGCCAAGCAGTCATATCAACTTTACATTTCCACGTCTATGGTTACTACTTAAACAACAGTTTTTGTTGCCAATCCACCTCCTGCTGCCATTGTTGTTTGTACTTTCTTGTTCTCTTCTTATTTTCCCGGTTAATTTCTATTATTCGCTTTGTTCTATGTGTGTATAAAATGTATGGCCTCACCACATAATTTAATAAGTTTTGATAGTCCCCACAGATAGAGAGTGGTAAGGAAAAACAAAAGATTAAAAAAAATAACTTGGCAGAATGCATGTCTGTACGGAATGTATGTATGTTATGATGTACACATTGAAAAGCAAAGAAGAAAATAAAGAAAAATAGCATCACCGTAACGTTAGAACATACCACAAATATGTCATTATGCAGAAATGTTAAATAACTCTGAAATAATCAATTGACAATTATGTCGGTTCAATTAAATTCTCATTATATCTAATGATTTTTTATTTAAATTGTACACATTAGTCATTTAGATGTAATCTTCTTATCAATTTAATTTCTACATAACATAACGGTTTTAACATGGTAAAATTAAGAAGGTAAAGTCATTTCAAATACGCATTCCCATCTTTGCATTTTCTGTAATTTACCTTGTCAAACTGCACTGCATAGAAGGCAGGATTCCATCTCTGATTTGTGTATGTACAATGGATTTATAAATAAATATATTGACAATGAGATGTTGTCAAATGAATAATTAAAAAAAATTGTAAACATGTGATTTCATGATAATTTCATTTAATATATATTTTATTTCATTTAATAATATATTGGTGGAAGTTTTATAGAAACGAAATTGTTTCCAAACATATGGATATGCTGCTGCGCAATTGAGATGATGTAATTATATGTCAGCTGATATCGGTTTATGTAAACATACAACCATGGTTGAAAAATACAAGTAGATGCATCAAAGCTTGCGAGCAATGATATGTCAACAATTTTTAAAATTCTTCTCAAATATAAGTAGATTTTTATATGTTTTCTTATACGACATCATTCGGAGGTTATTATAAAATGCCTTTTTTAACAATTTTTACAAATTTAAATAATTTTTCATTCAACATTTTAAATTCCAAAATTGGTTTGACAGCTCATTGCCTCAGCAGCTGCGTCGATGCGTCTACCTATATACTTCTACCATGCATACAACTTAAATAGTTGTGGTATTTTACAATTTTTAATGAATAAAGTTAGCTGGGTTAAATGTTGTGCCATGACAGCGAGTATTTCGACCGTCATTTCCATCGGATTTAAATTCACATTTATGCAAATGTACTTGAAATCCAATGTATTTACTATATGTAAGCCGGCGTTAATTGATCTATATGTTTATTTGGAAACATTGTCTTCAATTTTCAACTGTTAAAGACTAGAGGCAGGAGTAAAGTATAAACGTACTTTTTTGATCACTGTCATGTAGAAGAATACAGGTAGATGCATCAACGCTTGAAAACATTGATATGTCAAACAATTTTAAATGTTCTTTCAAATATAAGTAGATTTTTATACGTTTTCTTATATGATTATTATAATTCCCATTTTTTACAAATTTAAATAATTTTTCATTCAACATTTTCAATTCCAAAATTGGTTTGACAGTTCATTGTCCCAGCAGCTGTGTCGATGCGTCTATACACATTGAAATTGATATCAGTAATCCAATTGATTTACTAAGTGAAGACGTACCTTTAAGGCGAAACTTTTCAGATCAAATGTTTTATATGTTATGTTAAATCTTCCATATGAAGAATTTACACATATCGTGTGATACATGAAAGACATTTTACTATTATGCTATTTATTTTTTTACATTTAACTTTTTTGATCACAGCGTGCCCTATTTTCGTCAAAATCTTATTTGTTTGTTTGTTGTGTAAAAATATAAACAATTAAATTTACGCTTAAAATTCATCCCTAAAATATTATAATGGTTTATAAAAAATAATATATAAACAAATTCAATAAAAAAATATGCAGTGTCTGATTACAAAAATTATAAATTATATATAAAATGACAATTTTGACATATACCGTGAAATACACATAGGTAATAAAAGTGACAGCACTTGTGGTAGAAGAATTCAGGTGGCCGCATCAACGCACCAATGAATTAGACAATGAACTGTCAGACACATTTCGAAATTGAGAGTTTTGAATGAAAAAGTAT